TGCAGCATCTGTCGCACTGTTTCTGCCCTTTTGCCTGAGAAGAAAAAAAACAAACCCCAATTAGATAAGAGATAAGATAATCCTCTATTAGTCCCGCAGCGGGGACATTTGCCGGATTACAGCAGCAAAGTGGACAGTGCAACAAGAGACGACAGTAAAAAACAAAACAAGAAAATAAAAACAAGTACAATAAATAGTCAAACAGTAAAGGTATAATAAATAAGTAAATCGCAAAGAAAAAAGAATTAAAAAATACAATAGAATACACATTGTTGCACATAAGTAAGTATGAAGTGTTTGTATTGCAGAGTATTAATCTTGCACATACGTACATTGATATTAATATTGCACATGAATGAATGAATGAGTAATTTGCCGGGTTAATATATGGTGCGTGTGTTCTATTGGGAGCAGTGTCGGTTGTGAATTCTGACAGCGGCAGGAAGGAAGGACCTGCGGTATCTCTCCTTCACACACCGCCGTGAAGCAGCCGGTCACTGAAGGAGCTGCACAGAGCTGATAGTGTCCTGCATGGGCTGGGAGGTGATGTCCATCAGGGATGATAGCTTGGCCATCATGGCATCCCAGGACACTGCTGGCCTTCTTTACCAGTCCGTTTAGTCCATGATAAATACGTTCAACTAGATGTATTTGATACACAGTATCTACATGTACATTTACCTTGTAGTTTTTTGCAGTCCACCAGCTCAACATGTGCATCCAGATCTTCTCTAGCTTTTCTACAAAGGGCTCGGGATAGAGTGCTCTTTCCACTTCCCTGTGAGGGTGTATAATAACATAGTATATGTTACATAGTATACAAAAGAACATTGTTAGGGATAGAGATGAAGTAAAGTAAGTCTGTCTGATCAGCACTTCAAAATCATTGTAGATATTTTAATTCACTCTCCGTGTATATTAACAGATACCTTAGCACCAGTGATGAGTAGAGCTCCTCCCTGGAGTCCCCGTCCAGTTGTACCAAGCTCTCTTGAGAGGGGACTACCCAGAAGGCTGTGGGAGATGAAGTCAGAACCAGTCCTACTAAGCTCATGGATCCCACTGGGAAAATATGAAGTTAGTGGAGTGAGAGATGCAGAGAGATCCTTCTTTAAACCACACATGGGCGAACAGACAGCTACAAACTTACCCTAGAATACTGAGGGAGGGAAGCTCCGGGTCGGGCGTTTCAGTTGTAGAATTCACAGCTGGCAATGTCGCTGGCTCTCTGTCAACCTGTAGGGGACACGTAGTGTGAGCTTTTTGAAACCAAGAGGTTTTGAGATATTCAGTTTTTTTTATCAATAACCTGCATGAAACTATGCAGAGCACAAACTGCATGCAGAAATATGTTGTTATTACAGAACACTAACGGGCAATTTACATGACATGCATGCTTGTACCTGTATGTTTTCCTTCTGGATAACAGCTGATGCTAGTAAAAACAGCTGGTCTGGAGGGTCACTCGCTGGTTCCGGTTTCAGTACAGTTAAGGCAAACTCTAACTTTGCTATAAATAAGAAGAAAAAGGGAGAACAGTGAATGCAGCTGAAAGTATTGTAACTTGAATGTGTGTATTATGGGATTTTTGGTCTTCAGTTGATCGGTCATTTTTATAGAAGTGCCATTGGTGGATTTACAATAACCCGTAAAAGAGGAGAACAAATGAATCACCATCAGTTCCATGTAGGAGAATGGTGCCAGACCGTGCAGTCAGACAGTCTAAAGGTTCATGACTCTGAGTGTGTAGCCAACCGAGGAAAGCTGTTTGGATCTCTTCATCGTCCTCTTCGAACTGGAGAGAAAATGTCAAATATCACATGGACAGAAGGGAGAGAGGAAGATTCAATTACATGTGGCTTTGACAATTTACCATTTTGAGGACTAATAGTTGAATAAATCAAATGAAAATCTCTAACTCCATACTGTATTCACATATGGTTACTTCAGCACTCACCAGTGGTGTGAGAGGCTGTAGACGAATAGAGGAGGCTACTTTGATAGATGATTTGACTGGCTTAATTCTAACTGTTGAATGTGGGGTGATATTCAACCTGAAGGCCAGGGGCTGTGGGATCTGAAAACACAATAACTATATGAGCTATAGCAGCATATAAAGAAGCAGAGGACTGAGCTACAGTTAAAGTACCATAGTCATAAATGAACAGCGAGTAAACTCACCCACACTCTTCCACTATGGATCTCTCCCTTGCTGTGACTTCTTCCCTTGCGTGTCAGCTTCTCAGTATCATGACACACCACCCTGACCACCGTAGCTTCCTCTTCTTTCACCTCCTCTCCTCCAGCAACTTTACCAACACCTGCATTCTTCTTTTTCTCCATAGCCTGCTTGGCTCTGTCCCTTGATTCTTTAGGAGAGAGAACTTTGGAGAGCAGGCCATAAGTCACCGGTGACTGACCTCCAGTTGGCCCAGCATTCAACCCCTGGCTCCAAGGAAGTAAATGAATAGCGGCAGTTGCAATATGGCCTATAGTGCAAAGGGAGTCTGGAGGTGCACCGCACACTCTGTAGATAGAGTCAGTGAAGAGGACGGGGACGTCAGGTAAAGGTGGTAGCTCTTTAACCGGGTCATAAGTACCTTTTATCATATAGCGGAGCAGGCTCTTCAGGTCAGCTATGCCACCCCACTGGTGGATTTGAGGGACAGGGGCGGTACCTTCTAATGATGGTCCTGAGGGGTTTGAAAGATCCATATTCTGCTGTCTGTGAAAATCTTGTTTCTTGATGTTTCTCACTGGAGAATCATTGAGGTGGCCAATTCCAGCACGGTTCTTAGGAGAGACAACTAGTTCTGTGAACTGCTCCAAGCGACCATAAGGCACAGATGGCGAAAGCGATGCTGCACAGAGTTAAGAACAGATCATACTGCGTTATGAATACTGTCCCCGGTAAAGAACAACGTATAAAATGTAAACAAAAAGGAGCTGAACAAACGCTTTAATAGGTCGGCTTAACTAGTTGAAACCACGTCGTCTTCGGATTATTTAGTAACAAAAGGTAGTAATTATTGGAATAATTCTGACCTATTTGGATGTAGATGACAGTGTGGCTGTCCACCCACACAGGAAACACGGCATCTTGAAAAACAACTCTGATCTGATCCAACAGCTGCTGCTCCAGTGCAGCACTGTGAAGCTCCTGAGGGTGACAGTCACCAAAAACAGACAGTTAAATATTGTTTGATGTGAATCTGGGTTGCAAGCCTATCCCTGATGTATCATTTTCTAGTGGGACAATTGTCAGAAAAAACATTTATACATATAGTATATTTTTTTCACCACGAAGACATTGGGTGACTAATTAAGTCTCTACGCTGCTCACCCACCAAGATTTCCCAGTCATCAGATGACAGTGGCTCCACAAACACTTGATGCACTGATGAGACCTGGTGACATGGTCTCAGGAAGCCCTGAGTGAAATGACACAACAACTCAGTCACAAACACCGAGTCGGCCTAGACAGACCTGACAATTATATTAAGCTGTCAAAAGACTGCCAGCATGTGTCACGTAGAGATTATAGTTGGGAAACAGAGCACAGAACAAAATGCTCATTGTGAAGCCGTACCTGCTCTCCGTCGCTCAGGCCAAGCTTTTCTCCCAGCTGTCGACACAGCTCCACTTTATGGCTGTCAAGGCTGCTGGAGGTTCTGTTTTGAGTCCAGCTGAGGAACACCGGAGATCCATGGCCCCAGGACAACTCCAAAGCCTGGTTCTGACCAGAGACACACACACAGTTTTTGCTGTTGTATTTTTTGGACTGCTGTGACACTTTATCTATTAAACGACTGCATCATAATCGTCCTGCTTTTCTGCTCATTTGAGTCGTTCTACACAGCTTCAATTACAGAGCTAGCACAAGTTTGATACCTGTGTAAAGATGAAGAGGAGGGCTGAGCCTATGATTCTCCACACCACCCAGCCAAACAAAACAGGAGGAAGGCTTGTACAATTGTCATGCAAGCTCTCTCATTCACATTATATCACACATCCTCCTCTGAAAGATAGTGGTCTTTGGATGGTCAGGTGTTACTTGACCACCATGTTACAAAACCATGCAGTCATTTATAAGAATGCTCTGGTATTTACCCACTCGCCTGTGCCACCAAAAAATGTTAAGTTTTGTCACCACCAAGTGAGAATGCAAGGAAACTACTACTAAAATGGTTGGGTCAAAATGTAATAGTGAAAAAGTATTTTCTATCTGCTTATTGATGTTATTATTACCTCAATTGTTATTAAACCCAAGGAGAAACCACGTGGATTAAATATCCCATTGCTACTGCTGACAACACTCAACTCTTTCTTTATGTTAATGTTGACCTGATGCATTTATTCTGTCTATGTAATCGTTACGTATATATCCAATACTCTGAACGGTCTCTCAGAAGATGTCTTTGGCAGAGCAAAAGTAAACTTAAACAGACGCGTTAATTCAGTAATGTTAAATTAATAAATAAAGGAAACACAAAAGCACACGTTCAAGAAAACAATAAACACCGTTTTCAAACACAGGCCTATATTTTTTGCTTGAATATTGTTTCAGCAAACTAAACTGCCTCTACTGATAAGTGCTAGCTAGCTAGCTGAAACTGACAGCCAGGTAGCTAGCTAAGTTAACTTACCTCGTGCAGGGAAAGATGCGATATCAACTTCGAGGAGAGCTGAAGAAAGCAGTTTTTTGTGTTGTTAAAGACAACAGTTACGGGTTGAATGCCCTGATTACTAAACATTATTTTCACACAGGTTACTCTGCTGACGTTCAATGTGCAACAAACCCAGCCGATCGATGTGCTCCCTGCGCCTCGCTAGCGTTAGACCAAAGCAGCTGATTTCGAGCACGTTTCAAAATAAGATAATTAAACACGAGCACGCAGTCGATGCGTGAGTATTCGAAAGAGAACGAGCTTTTATTTTGAAAGTGTGTCAACCGGAAATGTATTTCCATAAACATGGCGGCACCTGGCAAGAACAGTTCAGACTGTTGGCGCGTCCCAGATGTTTATAAACACCACGAACAGCAGAAGATATGCATTTCTCGACCTAAATATAGAGATGGAAGAAGAGATAAAGCGGTTAAGGTATGAATTAGCTCGATATAAGTTATTAAAAAAAACATAAATCTGAAGATAAGAGACGCTGCAGCCTGCGACTCTTATCTTAAAGGTAACGTCGTTATAGACAATACAGACATATTCTAGTGTGGCTCATTGTCGAGTATAGGTCATCATATTTGTCTTGTGCATCATCAGGTGTACACCATCAATTTAGAGTCGTGTTACCTGATGGTCCAAGGGGTCCCAGCCATCGGGGTGATGACAGAGCTGATCCAACTGTGTGCCCTGTACGGAGCTGTGGAGGAGTACAGGCCCCTGGACGAGTACCCTGCTGAGGAATTCACGGAGGTCTACCTTGTTAAGTTCCAGAAACTCACCAGCGCCAGGTACAGCGTGTTACTAACGTACCGTGTTCATTATACTGTACTGGAAAAGTTGAATAGACTGGCTAAATAACTTTAAACTGTCTGTTTCAGAGCAGCCAAACGACGCATGGATGAGAAGAGTTTTTACGGTGGTGTGCTGCATGTGTGCTACGTCCCAGAATATGAGACTATGGAAGACACCAGGCTGAAGCTTCAAGACAGGAGGAGATATGTTATCAGGGCTGTTCAGAATAAAGGTACAATTTAACATCATGTTTAGATGTATGCACTTACAGAAAACACCAATAAACTGATGTGATATTGGTAGATACGTTGTACATATACTTAGTATCATGTTCTACTACTTTTAATGCACTTTTATTTGAAATAACTCAGATATTTTATTTAATTAAATGTTTTATTTTGTCTTTATAGTTGGAATGACAAACATGAACTTGAACTGTGTTTTTTTTTTCTCTCTTATATTGTTTCAAAGCAAGAGAAAGGAAACAGGAGGCCGTAAACAAGGAGACAGTAAACAAGGAGACCACGTCATCAAACACAGCCACCACATCAGAGACGGTCATCCCCAGACGTGATAAAACCTCCGACAATGATAATTCAGAGAAGAAGTCAAACATCAGCCACTATTCAGACTTTCCTCTACTGCCATTACCTCCCCAGGAATACCATTACTACTGGCATAAAAATCAACATGGGACTATACCGACAGAAGACAAAATGGGGACATTACATAATGCCGTCATTGACACAAAACAGCAGCAAGGGCCCAGTTCAAGCTCCGGCCAAACCTCTTCAGACAGAGACACAGAACGCAGACTGACCTCAAGTCAGTCTTCTACAGTAGCCAGATTTGTCCCAAGAACCACACACTTGGAGAACAGGAAACGCAAGATGGAAGCTGCAGCGGAGCACTCACCGACTGATGTTACTAGAAACAATGAGACACTTATTGGGCCAAAGCTACCGGAACCTCCCAAACTGGACATGGAGGATGAGTCACTAAACACAACTGTAAACCTGATCAGGAACACGATGAATAAGGTATCCTATAGTCAGATTTCTTTTTTTAATGAAAGTCAGAATAAAACTAATTCTTCACTGTAGCTTTAATTCCATTATTTGTGTTAGTAAAATACATTTTGTCTTTGTTCTCAGGTGGAATCCGTTCCTGGCCTTAAACCAGTAGAGAAAAAGCTGAAACCACGTCGTCGGATTTGATCCAATGAGCTGCCTTAATGCTGGAATTTCTGGAGATTCTTTTGGAAAATTACAATTCAAACCGTTTCCCTTGGCAGATTGCTTTTATTTACAAATGTTGCCCCACAATTCAAACAGCTATTACATTTTTATTAAAGAATATATTTCTGAAATAGCACTTGAATGTGATTCCTTCATTGTTTCAGTTCTTGAAATACATGCTGCTCAAATGTCTCAATTCTCTGAAAACAGGGGGGGGAAAAGAGTGCAAGATTAAGAATTTCTGATGTAGAAATTACTTAATTTATTTACTAATTTACTACTTTAATTTGTGATTACCGTGACGTCAGGGAGGCAAGTTCCAAAAGCCTCAAGTAGTAGATTCTCCTCTCTAACTGACTGTTCAAAGTCAGTTAAAGACAGTCTGCCATCATGGTTATGGTCCTACGAAAATATAAAATGTGTTTGTAGCCAGTTGTGTACATAAATTAGTCAGATATGTGAATCTCAGATTGTTTCTACTTTTCACCCTCTGAAACACAAAACTTTGACATCCTTTTGAAGGAGGAGAGAACATATGTAGAGGTAAATCAAGGAATTTTTAAACCAACAGGCCAGCAGCATTCATCCCCTCACCATCTTCTTGAGCGTGATCTCCACCAAGTCTTTGACTCCTTCCTCACGTTCCTCAGAGGACAGTCCGGGGAGGCAGTCCTTCAGCATGTGATACATCTCCTCTCTGGAGATGTCGCCATCGTCGTTCAAGTCATACACCTGGAAGCAGTCTGAGCCATGCAAAAAGAGAAGAGTTATTACCTGAAATAAAAGCTTGCAACTCAAGATTTTGTTATGCAAGTGTGTGAGTCAGAGCACGAAGGTTGAGAGCTTACATTTTATTTGTTCATCCAAGGTCCCTCGAAGGAAAACAGACAGTCCCTCAATCCATTCTTTCATACTGATAAGGCTGTCGTTGTCTTTGTCAAATGTCCAGAAGACTGGGGAACAGATCATCTCAAACACTCAGAACACGGTCAGGTTATCAAACAATCACAATACTCTGCATCCAAACCACTGGTGGTTATCCAATTATGAAATATGTGTCATTCTGTACACTTGTAATATATAATATCAATGTGAAACAGACGGATTACCTCTATCCATCACAATGTCGTCGGTTATGCCGAAGGTGTTCTGCAGCATGCTCCTGAACTTCCCTCTGTCCAGGCCGGTCACTGCTCTTCCGGGAACAGTCGGCTCACTCATAAGCACGTTAAAGGCGTGGATTAGACACTCCACCTCTGCTTTATTGACTGGAATCATTGAAAAATAGTGGCTGACATTTCACATGTTATTTCATAAGCTGTGCGGCACTTTGTTATAGTTGCATGGTAGCCGATTGCGTGAATTAAAAATATGAAAAACAAAGGCTTAAAAAAACGGCAACTGCCGTCGCACCTCTCCTACCGGCCGCAGCCCGTACCGGCGGGAGGCGCACCGCTTTACAATATGAAGAGAACTTGTTCGGTTCGTAAGTCTGAGCTGAATACTCACAGTGCTCCACTTGTTTGGAGATGGTTTCGGCGAGGGTTTTGATCAACCTTCTCTTCACGGAAGACATTTTCGACATTGTTGACAATCCGTCACTAGGCAACCACACGACATAACATTCCAAGTCAAAAGCGTGAAATGAGAAAAAATGTCTTGTTTTAGTTCAGAAAAGAAGTTCACTGAGCAGAACGAGTTTGTAGGTGAAGTCTGTAGTTCAGCATTAGAGAATGGAAATGAAATTACCATTTTAATCAGGATAAAAGTTTATTAACAAGGTCTGATCGGTTACTTCTCATACTGATCTTTGGGCTACAGTAACCAGAATGTTTAGATGTTAGATCATTTGATGCTTTAACTATTATACTATTATCAATGTACAATGATTCATCTACAAAAGGTATTAAGATGAATCACAGCTTTGAATTGTCACAGATTTGTCCTTTGTCCCACAGAAAACTGGATATTCCACCAGTGCTTAACTCTCATGAAGTCAGGCCAACTGAACCTCTTCTCAACACACTCTTCGTGTTCAAACTCCTTTCACCTGTGTGTACAGCCATGTGTTTTGTCATCAAATTATTTCGACTGAACTTCTTCCCGCACACTGTGCATGTGTGAGGTTTCTCTCCCGTATGGATTCTCGTATGTACGTTCAAGTTGCCCACGTGGCGGAACTCTTTCCCACAAATCCTGCAACGGTATGGCTTCTCCTCCGTGTGAATCCTCATGTGCACGTTCACACTGTTGCCGTGTCGAAACTCTTTACCACACACCTCACAGATGAACAGTTTCTCACTGGTGTGGATTTGTGCGTGTGTGGCCAGATGTGCGCTGTGGCTGAATTCTTTGCCACAGAAACGACAGCGGTAGGATTTGCTGCTGCTCTTCGTCTCTTTATTTGGTGGAGTTGGGCTGTGTGGTTCGCAACTTTTAGTCAGCTGCTTTCTCCCTGTGGGGCTCTGCGTGTGGACTTTACCGATACTGTAGCCCGTCTGCGTGGCTAAACCCAACTCAGGCCCCATGTTGTTCAGACTCACAGAACAATCTGGCAAAAGAGTCCAATATTCACTGCTCGACTGAGCAGTTCCCTCAACCGATACAGGCTTTCTGTCTTCATTTCCTGTGTCATGAGTTTGTAACTCAGTCATGTCTGAGAAAATGCAACTTGTCATGTAAGTGGGCGTCACTTTCCCAGTGCTGGTATCAGCGTCCTCCATATCCGGACTGCTCCACGGCTGTTCCTGTTTGATTGCTGGAGGCTCTGGGGCCAGCAGGCCGGTGTCATCCTGGTCCACACTGGGGTTGTTGTGGCAGCTCTCAGGACTCCACTGCTGCTCGAAGTGTTTCTGCTCATGTGCACAGACAAAGACCTGTGGGGCGTCTGTGGAAGAGGAAAAGGTGAGAACGTTGCCACCTTTCACTTTTAGCATTTTATCATCAAGTCTGATTTGCATAAAAGAGAGATAAGCTAGAGAGGGAGTCCACCTCCAAGACTCTATACTTTTATAGAGTCTTTAACTTAATGTTTGGGTCGGCATCCTGATGGCCGAGGGGTTTAAGATGCTGACCATGCAATCGCAACGACCCCGGATTGAGTTTGTGCAGAGGCATTTGTTGCCTACAATCCCCCATCTCTCCCCTCATTTCTCTCAGCTCTCTTTGTTTTGAATGGGTTCTAAATTGCTGAAATTATGAGTGTATTGTTTATTTGTCTTTGATAAAGGTAAACATGTTTTGGTAATGGACAAAGCCTTTTGGACTCCACTGCAGTAAAACACATTATGACCCTTTACTAACTGCAATGTCAAAGTTCATTGAACCGAACATGTTTCTTTCTCAGAAAACCGCGATAACTTGGCCAGACTTGTCCTCTGATTTAACATTACACTGCTCTAACGTTGTTGGATTTAGCCTCCACTTAGTTTACCAGGTTGCACATAGCTAAAAGCTCCTTTCACATATGCACTGGGACTCCGTGAGAGCTCTGTAAAGAGACATTTTAATACTGCTTTAGGACGTGACAAACGAAGGAAAACAAACAAACCGTCATTGTGCACATGCACTTCTTGTTTAAGTCCATGTTGGTCAGCGTCTCGTTCTGAGCGAGCAGCTTCTTCCTCGCGCTCGGTCACCGTCCTCTGCACCGCAGCGAAGATGTCCTCCGCGGCCGCACTCAGCCGCTCACTGATGAACAACCTCAACAGCTGCATCTGGGACATTTTTTATCAACTTTCAACGCTCACCGACGACCACAGACTGTGTCGGCTTCTGTGTCAAACTCAAAGTGGTAACGCAGAATTAGGAGGTGACTACATCCGGCTACGATCACAAAATAAAAGTAGTATTGCGCGACAGTTTGGAAAATCCTGTGGCTTCAAACAGTTCACAGGGAATCTGTTGTCTATATGGTTATTGATTGTCATTTTATAAGATAGATGCATAGCTATAACCACGTAACTGACTGGGTAAAGTAAGCAACTGCAAGGCAAAGGCTCCACATTAATTGCCACTTATTCTACAGTGTTCTGGTTACCTCAAATTAGAAAATAACAATAAAATCAGCAGATAAAAATACAGGATCCGAAGAGTGACCCTTTATCGGGCACATTGAGGGGTCCCTCTCCGATCAAGAACGGATTATTCTCTCCCTAGAGGCTCGTGTTGATGTAAATACATAACGTTTCAGATCTCTCATGACTCAAGATGTATTAACATAACACTAAGCATTACTTTGAATAAGCACAGCATAGCATGGTCTGGTCTGGCGTCAAAAAGTAGTAACTTGTACATTCAGGAATTACAACGGTTAAAGCCTTAAAACGCCAGATCCAAAACACTTTATTTTCAAAGGGCTCCACTTCCGGTCTCATTCCATGTTGAAGCTTGAATGTTGAGATCGCCATCTGCCGGACAGGAGTTCAGACCCTTCTGGTAAATGCCGTACTCCACTGCCTGTCGATGATGAATGGGAGGATGGAGGTGTAGAACAGTTTGTTTTGTTGTTAAAAAGCGAGGTTACATTTCAGGACGTAGTCTTCTCTTCTTGTGCTCTTGACCTTAGTCTTCATTGTCTCTTCTGTAATTTGCCTTTAAAGTATTTAGAGTAATTATAACATCTGACCACAAGGTGGTAGTCAGGTAATCCATTAAAAGGGGAAAATGAATACATGCAACTGCAGGCCTTTTCTGTACTATCAAATTATAGTAATGACACCTGAAAATCTAACAATTACAACTGTCGGAATAATCAGAATACAAGGTTGTTGAAGTGGGTTAAAGTGAATAGGTATATTTTTCTGGAATGTTCCAAAGAGTTTAACATGTCTGGGGAAAAAACTTAAATACATGGTTACTAGTTTCTTTAAATGATCTATCAAATTTTAATTTGGTAAGTGAAGAAGAACACTGGGTGATGCATCAGTTCAGGTTTGATATTTAATTCATAAACTACAATGGATTACAACACTTGTCAGATAAAACAGACTGAACCAAAAACATACAAATAAAACATTTTAAATTTATGATCAACGCCATTAATTCACAATACTGCACCACTACTTATTCCTGTTTGTGTTTGTGTGTGTATTGTGTATTTGAAAAACAGAAATTGTGCCAGAGATATGTGCTGATGTGCCGAGGGTGTCCTTTCAGTCCAACGATTATTTGAACGAGTGTTTGTGTGCAAGGTGTGTCTGAGTCACACGGACCGCTGTGCAAGGTTGGTTCTGATTGACAGTGTTGCGTCCACCCAGTGGTTTGGGTTTTCAATCATGGAGGTCCACACAGCGGCCTCCTCTTCCGTGGAGTCCATCCAGCTGACAGCCTCCCCATAACTCTGACCTGCCATTAAAAAAAAAAAAAACACCAATATTCATTATTTATGTCAAAGACATTACCACAGAAATCCTCACCACAAACCACACACCAAGGAATGGTGCATCTCTTCATATTTAGCATACACAGTGACACTGGTAACCTAGAAATGACCCCGCTCTGATGACAAGACCATCTGAAATGCCTGAAATGCCAACTGGACAAAATGCAATGCAATGTGAAGCACTGGATGGGAATACTGTCACCACCCCACCACTCCAAAACACCACAATGTCTTATCCCCTGACACAGACACTGCTGAAGCCTAAGAAATGTCAAGGGACCCATGAGATAGCATCAAATCTCTGATCACAGCTCAGGAGATGCTCAAGATGTATTCATCACCGTACAAACTTTTAGTCATACTGAGTCTACAGTCACGTATTGACTTATAGAAGTTAGCCCAAGATAAACATGAGGAAGTTAATTTAAAATGCACACTGCCAACAACAGCCGGAACTGAGAGTGACCTGATAAGAGATAAGATACAATTCTCCGTACAGACCAGGCTCCACAGGGGAACAAACACGATCCCTAATCACCCATACTTTGAGAACAAGGTAAAGATAGGAGCATTGTTCCCCTATCTGGTCGCTTATTGTGCCATCCATCACAGAACACTTCACTGAGACTGGGAAGAGCCCCAACAAATGACCAATCTGTCAAAATGTTCACTTTCGTATGCTGATACTCTAACACCCACACACATGGTATCAATATCTGCAGAAACAAAAGCATCTGTGTGATTTTGAGCGTGAATAAATGTGGATGTCATTTAGTTTAAAGACACCCACCAGTTCCACAGCTCAGACGAATCCCTCCTAGGACGTGCGGCTTCAAACCTTCGCGGTGCCAGACGGTCAGCTCAGCGCATGCCTCTCTCAGGTCGCTGGAGTGGAAGCCATCGTAGACCATGGTGTGGTTGAAGGTCGGGCTGATGGAGCGCTTCACCACCCGAGTTTTCTGACTGCTCTGCCGACTGGCGTCTGGGAGTATGAAGCTTGATGGGAGATTAGGATTATGAGACAATTAAATTCAGGTTCGAACCAGGATTGATTGATTGATAGATAGATAGATACAGAGAGAGAGAGATATATATATATATATATATATATATATATATAAAAAAATTGGCTATGCTTCTGCAGTATGCAGGACAGTATGTGTGTTAAAACCTTTAGTCATAAAATAACCAATAGTCAGAAACACACATGTGAAGGTGGAGAATTCAAACTAATTGAATGTCCTGTTCCACCAATAATTTTCTACAAAATGAACTGCTATGAAAACTGCCATGATAGATAACTGATGGCAATATATCAGGTAACATGTTGCAGAGCTGACACACCTTCTGACAAAGGAGTCTATTGCCCCCCCTTTGTTAGCCAGGAGACCTTGAGCCTCCCGAAGCCAGATGTGAACCTCTCCTGTCAGAGGCAGTCCACCACCTTAAAACACACAACGTATGAGACGCACGTGATTACTGTGGGACATAACTTTTATCTATTATGTATGTGCTCTGCTCACCCTCAGATCCGTCTGGGACGAACTTAATAGAGAGCAAGATGAGCCCACGGCTGCTAATGGAGTCTGGATTCAAATTAATCTGCGATGGGGGTGAGAAAAGAGAACAAGGCACAGGAAGCGAGAGAAAGAAAAAGCAAGGGAGAGGGAGGCAGACGTGTGGAAGCAGGAAAAGATTACGGTTACATAAAACCTTAGTTGAAATTCACAGCATGTCTTCCTCTCCCTTCAGCTCTTCCAGACACAAGACACTCTTTGTACTCCCAACAAAGCTGCCGAACTGCAGTTACACATGCACACACTACTAAACAAATATAGAGGAGTAAATATTTGAAATAATAAATATTGGTCAAGGAGGATTCATGCTCGCATGCTAATTCACGTTACTTTACATGACTGTGTATTTGAAGGCAAATCCTCTACGACCGCTCTTCCCTACCCGTGGTTGCAGGTCCTGCCACTGTGGCAGAGAGCACGTCCAGTCCCAGAGGCCCAGAGACACCTCCACCTCACCCAGGAACACGTTTTTGCCCAGGGGCTCGGCGTGCCACACTGACAGGTTCAGGGTCCGGCTCCGCAGCTCTCCGACCCGCACTTTATACTACAAAATAAGAGCCAGAATCAGGCAGGCAGCACATGGAAGGAGGGAAGAGGCAGATGCAGGTCAGAGCGTAACATGTACTTATGAGAGAGAGCTGAAGGACATATGGGGATTTCTGTAACTTATCGTGATGTGTAAATGAGAGAGTGTCTCACTCGGAGCGTCTGATCATAGACTGGGTTTAGTGTCTTCTTCTTCACTGCAGTTTTCTTCTTACTGTGATTCGACTTGTCTGGCAAGAGATAGGTTTTAACGTATCTGTGAAAAACACACACATATAGACATTTTTGCCTGATTCTGTATGTGACATTGTTGCTGCAAGATGCACATTCACTGTCACTTACGGGTCAGAGCGATCCTTGCGTGCTGAAGCGATTTCCTCGCAGCGATACACTTTGACTTGCAGCTCCTCCTTCTGGGTGTCGTAAACCAATGAGAATTGGATACGGCCCCTCACCTCCACCACTCCAAAATCGCCTGAGCTGAACAGACTCATCATGCTTCCACTGAGCTATAACACACGCAGAACAGAGATCAGCTCCTACGACATTGTCTGCAGCTGACTCATCCTGCGTCGCTGGATAGCCAATTAATCAAAAGTGCTTGTGTGTGGCTGCACGAATCTGTGTGTGTGTGTACCGTGTAGCCCGAATGAAGGCTGCCGGTGGAGCTGCCGGATTTCAGAGAGGCTGGTTCCAGCTCTGTCAGGCAGCTGCTCAGAGACTCGGTGTCCCCGTTGTGACTGCCAAAGTCTTCCTAAAACACACACACACACACACACACACACACACACACACACACACACACACACACAGCGTCACTAACGATCATCAACCACTCTACCATTAAAAAAAGGGCAAAATGTGTGATTGATTTAGAAATGTAAAAAATTCACCTCAGGTTCCTCTGAGTGGCCATTACTTCTCCTTTCGCACTCTATGAGACGAATGCATTGAGAATGACTTAATAACAACAGTAAGAGAGAGGCAAAACAGAGACAGAGAGACACACTTCCATACCTTTGGATGAAGAGAAACTATTTGGATGCTGGAGACCCTGGAATTGAAGATGATTGTTAATAATTAGACGATTTGTATTTCAAGTATTGACTACGTAAACAAGCATGCGCACACAGACCTGTGCTGTAGGACTGTTTTTTCTGGGTGCGGGTACAGGTTTAAAACTTCCTTCACTCCTGAAAAACACAAATAAGATATTGGAAAACAGAGCTCCACACAAATGTTACAAAATTGAGAAGATGTTTCTGTGACTAACCCTCCACTCTCCTCTTCTTTGCTGTCCGTCAGTCTTCTCTCTGCCTCGGGAGAACTGTTAATGTTCCGGGAGGTTTCCGCTCTCTCTCCATCGAATAGTCCAGGCAGGGGCACATCTGTTACCATGGCAACACACACAGAACCATCAATGGGATGTCCCTCTAACAGCAAGAAAACAGCTCCACAGGCCTGTAAGAGTAACACTGCAGTAGCTTAAAAACCGACCTCTGTTCTTGGTCTTCCTGTGGCGTATGGTGGCGTGGACGAGCGTGCAGCCCGACGGCCGGTTGCGATGGCGTTTGCCGCTCTCGTCGCTGAACCATGCTCCGGACAGGATGCGCAAACGTGACGGATCGTTCTCTGTCTCCTGGAGGACCCTGCAGCGTTGATTGGGGCCAAGTTAAACAGCAAACAAACACAAACTAATATATGCAAAAGTCAGCCGACGTCGGCCTCCAACAAAAAGTAAACAGTCACTGTCGTCACTTCTGTCATGCAAATTAAATACAAAGACCTGTCCATTCTACTAATAAAAAAACTAAATTTAGCTTGGAAAGTTTCTATTTACATCAACAACATGTACATTTTTCTTTGATACGTTCGACAGCCTGATAGAAGAGCTGAAACAAGTTTATCATTTTCACAGAAAACTCATTGGAAACATTTTTTTCATTGTATAAGTCAATTATCAAGCAAAAATGCAAAGCAAATGTGAGCATTTGTTCCATATTTTTGACTCTAGGAAATTGTGATGAGACTAAACAATGAATCGATTCATAAAAAAAAAAAACTTTAACATAGCAATACAATTTTGTTGTCAGCTGAGGCCCCCATTTGAAGATTAATAAACACAATCATCACAAACAAGAGACAACAAGTCAGAGATATGGGGCTCTCTGAGCATGTGGTAGTGACCAGCGATCAATAACTCACTGAAGGGTTTCACAAGTATAAAAATGATAAATAGTCCCCAGATTTCAACCCACAAAAACACCAACATAAAGGAAAAATAATATTATTAAGAATGGTGTAGAGATTTATATAGTCCATCTATACCATTGAGACAGTTGACATAGCTTTTTCTTGATTTGTCACCTGTCTGAGTGTTAGAGCTAATCACTGGACAAAACTGGTCTAAAAAGGATAAACAGTCACCTCTGACCTTACACGTCCTTCATCAAGATGACGCAAATCCAAGTCACGCTGTAAGACCTGCAGGATGCTGGACTGCTCCTCTTCTGTCAGGTGGCTCAGGTCAAGAGAAGAGTCAACCTGCTCCTCCTCCATCCCTGAGTGAGAGGCAAAACCACAATCCTTAGACAAACAGACATTCATCTCTAATTACATTTAAATATGCTCTTTATCATAGTTATGTCACTGTATTTCACTGAGGATAATGATGTTAAAAAGGAGGAAAGTAAACGTCTATATATTGACTAACCTGCTGCACCACAATATGATCATTTTTGTCTGTACATGTGTACGTGTGCATGTGGCCGCTGCCCCGAGGCAAGTTACCTCCAAGTAATTAACGCATGCGCAATGCGATCCTCCTTGTGAGTTTGGCAAACAAGTTCATATGAAAGTGCAACACAGCTTTCACAGCATGACACCTAAACAAACACAGAAAGAATACAATTTATGTTATTAGAGTGTGTAGTAGATGACATGAGGTGTAGGTTTCTCATAATAATAAGAATTTATGTTCTCATATACAATGATTAAATAGTTGCTGTGATAATAAAATTGTATTGAAGTTTGTGGTCATGACCATTTACATGAACTTTCTGTAAAAAAAAAAAAAACAGCAGTTTCCTCATCCTGAACAGCGCGAGAGAGAGGACACCTGTCGCCACGTTTCCCCTTTTGGGTCAAGTTACACTCACCTGTCTCACTTTCAGTAAATACACACAGCGAAACATAAAAAAGAAGCCCAAGCTTGTGTTACCTTACTTGAGAGCCTCCGACACTTCCGTCTGTGAAAGGTTAAGTGAAAAGTTGTCCAGAGCGCGGTGTGTTTCGAGGTCTGTGCAGAGTAAACGGAGTGAACACGCCCTCCGGGGTTACTCCGCACAGAGGCTGCAGTCAGCTGGGAGGCGAGCAGTGGGCGGAACAAAGTTGCTTAAAACTGTGCGTGCATGTGTGTTTAAGATTGATAGATTGATACGGTGTGTTTGTTTGAACGTATGATATGACTCACACACTCTCACACACACACACACACACACACACCGATATTTTACCAAATGGCAGGGTGGAGGTGGGAAATAGTTCTCCTCCTTGTAGCTGTCCACACCCGCTTAACACACATTTGCCCAAACACTGAGGCTGCTGCTGCACCTACTGTAGCCTTCTACACACACACATATGCACGCATATGCAAACATCACGCAGATCTATGCGTGTTTTAAAGGGAGTACAGCCAGCAGCACGTGAGGCCTGCCTCAACTTTAGTGTGACAACGTGTGTGTTCCCTTTTTCTCGTTGGAAATGTATTTGTGTGTGTTGGGGGAGGGTGCATTCAGAGTGTAAAAGACCTGTATTCAGTCCCGTCCTTTGTCAACAAACTTGGATGACAGCCACACACTGCCCAGTTGGGAAACTTTTTTGTGTGAGCTTATTCAAGCCTGCGTAGGTCCTGGCTCAGACAGCGCTTGGTGCATTCAACCAGCCATCCTGCTGCTCCCCTAGGCCTCCATCAGCTCTCTGTCCCTGCGGCATGCTGGGATCCCTACCGACACTCATACATGTAAGGATTAGTAGGTGATTCTTATAGCGGATACTGACTGTCTGAGTATGGTCACACCCAAATTACAGCAGAATCAGTTCACTCACTCTGCTGGTATGGGTAAATATGCACTCAGCATATACTGTACAATCTCTTACACCAATTACCAACTCCTCATTTGAATGCAAAAAAGCACACACACACAAAGAAACAAGTATTTATTCTTAGTTTATTCAGGCTGCCAGCCTATTTAAGTATTTTCACGCGAATGGCATCACAAAAAAAATAAGTTAATTTTAAACTTAACCAGCATTACCATAAGTAAACAGGGTCACATCACATCTCTTTGAACTGTTATTAAAGGGTTAAAGCTGCTATGTATATGATATAAATATGAGCAGTCAAAACAGAAATCTCCTCCATGAAATTGAGTTTATAAAAAAGACTCTGAGCTGTTGACAAGTCAAAACAAAAACACTCACAAATCAAAGGAGAAGTGCTCAATGTTGTAAGTATACATTCTGCTACTACTATTGCTTAGATAATCTAGTATAAATGTTGCCAAAGGTGGGGTCTAGGACATCTCCAAGAGATGTTTCCTTAGGGTCCACAGTTAAATTATTTAACTCACTGCAAGTAAATAAATTAAAGATATAATATACATAAATAGTAGCATTTTTGGTTTCAATAAAACACTATAAAGTTATGCCGCTCCACATGAAACATACATGTCCTCTGAGATGATAAACAAAGTCATTCAGAGTCTCATTTTGGTTTATTTTAGGATTTTTGAAAAAGGTCTAAGTGACCTTGACTGTTATGACCTACTGTCTACATTGGGATTGTATCGCTCTTTCCCACAACCACACTGTACTATTTACACAGTTGAAACAGCTCACTGGATAGTTGCTTGTTGTTTGTAAGAGAACAAACGCTCAACATGTTCTTGTGGTGAAAATTGATGGTGGGTTTAGTCACAAAGGTGAGAGCCTTTTTGTTTCTCATTTCTCTGATTGTATGAATACAGCCAAAATGTCTCCAGAATATAAATACTATACAAACACAGTGAGCACATGCAGAGACACTCGTTACACAATGTGATATTCTGAGAAAACATGTCCTCTTATAAACACACCCATCCCGCAGGGGTATACACAAATTAGTGACAGGACCTCGGGGGGGGGGGGGGGAAACACTCTTGCCGTCAGAAGTCGATGCGTCACTGCTCTGCTGTCCTCCAGCCTCGCCTGTTTGCCCTTCAGACATCTTGTCTTCATTGTGGCTGCTCTCTGTATGAAGACAGGCATAATTTTGATGTGGACAGATGGGGTTCGTGATCAGAATCAAAATACAATCTAGAGGGGCGTTAAAGGGGAATCCCGCTGTACATCGCCTGCTGTTGATCACTCCTGCCACCAGAGGCTGCTGTTGCACCAACAGACTGCCCCTTAACTCAGTGACACTTTCACATTTACATGCACATACTTAAACTAATACAGTCACGCTAAATTCTCTGTTCTCTAACACCTACGTGGACAAACTCACATGGGGTCGTAGGTGCTCTGCTCTTTGGATTTGAGGAAGCGCATGGCGAAGAAGCCGCCCGCCTGCACACACAGCACGAGTATGATGCCTCCGATGAAACTGGACATGTCAAACTTGGCCTGAGAGAACTCTGGGGATGAGTTGGTGTTACTTCCATCACCTGGAGGGTAAGATAAGGAAGAGGCTGATGGCTTTACAGTCAGTGAAACTACATGAAAGCAGTGTGTGGTGGGAAAAGACAAGACTGTCAGCTTTTTTTCCTGGTGGAATTGAATAGGCATTGTGGAACATTTTACTCAGCTCTTATCGGAATAATGAATGTCTGACGCAAGAGAGAGGGAAGGGGGTGGGAGGGGATGATGGTGTCGATACAATTTACCTGAGTCACCTTCACCTCCTCCATCAGCGACAGTCTCGACAACTGGGAAATAAAAAAGGTGACAAGAAATGACAGTTACTGAGGTTGCAGATAAAGAAGTTGTGTTGATTCTGGAGTGTATTGTTTGCTACCTGAGCACAATTCAGACACTCTAGTCCAGCTACAGTTCATGCCGTTGTCTGCCGAGTTACCCTCATCAGTCATACACATGCCTGTATCATTACCTGAGCGAGAGAGAACAAGCATTTTTTTAGTATGTGTGTGTATGTGTGTGTGTGTGTGTGTGTGTGTGTGTGTGTGTGTGTGTGTGTGTGAGTGAGTTCGCGTGTCTCATGTGTGCGTTCCTGGCATACTAAATAATTCAGTCATCTTGTACAAACCAGGGAAGCTTATGTTACAGCAGCTTTGATGATTGAATTACTATCAGAGGTCAGGGGTGTGTGTGTCTGTATGTGGTGTGTGTGTGCGTCTGTATGTCGTGTGTGTGTGTGTGTGCGCGTGCGTGTGCGTGTGTGCGTGTCACCATTTGGACAAAGCCTCCAGACACAGCCTGTCAGGTTGAGCATGGAATCGCCAACACACAGGTCACATGACTCGGCTTGAGAACAATCTGTAGGAGGGACAAAACTGGCAATCAAATGGTTGCACAATTATCTTCCCACAGACACATTTTAACAGCTTTATTATTGCAAGACGTCCCGCCAGTCTGATAGGCAAAAGCAAGTAGGCAACATTGTCAAGTAATGCCAAAGAAAAGATAGCAGATTCTCATTCACCTCTCATATTTTTTTACTTGTTGTTGGCTTGAGAGAAAAACTAGAGAATAAGCCATCATTACGGTAAACAAGAGGAGATGTTATCAGGGAAAGACTCTTGAAGGAGATGAAATGGTGGCAACAAGCCAGTCAAGGAAAGGAGACATCAGATGCCAAGTGTTGGAAGACACACCAACAGTTTTCTGACCAAATGCACTGAGATGGTCACACAGTAACACAATAAATGAAAGACATGTGGATGGACCCATACCTGACTGTGAGTACACAGAGGGAACCACTGCTAGAATCAGCAGTGTGGAGAAGAGGACCTTTGACACCAACTGTTGCATCCTGACAGCCACAGATCACCAACACCTGCAAACGACAGCTGAAGATGTTTGGTGCTTGGAGAGGAATTAGTATCAACAAAAAGGTTTTGATTAAAATATCTTCTGTAAGTCCTCAAAAAGGTATCCAATAGTTGCAAATGGAGATATGGCTCCTGGCTGGGACACAGAGAGAAAGACAGGAGACACAGAGATCTGTGTAACATGAGCAATACACCCAAACCTGGTTTCCTGGCAACCAATTGGCCCACCTCAACCCTCCTGAAATACACACCTGTTTGAATGGAGTGACACCTGGTTACTTCGGCCGGCAGTGCACACACACATGCACACACACACACACACCAGTGTTCACACATATGTCCTTACAAACACATAAACAATGGTGGGATGAATGGGAAGAATAACTGCACATTCACGTACAAATATTTGCAATCAATTGATCTTTACCATTATTTAGCATTTTCCTTTCACACTACTCACATTCTCAAACAGAATGTTCTAAGACAGTGGGTCCAAACCTGGGGCCCCAAGATCAATCTGAAGGGTCACAAGATCATTTAAGAGATACATGGGAGACAGAAGAAACGAGTTCAAATAAGGTTTATCCTCTGAGCACCATGAATGTGTGAACCAAAGATATGAGATATTTCAGTGTGGACCATAGAGCACCACCATGAGTAAAGTACATTTCCGATACACAACATTTTATTTTTGTCTGATGTTTTTCTTCTTAAAGAGAACTACAATATACTTTCACCTATCCAGGCCTCTATAAAGGCGGAGGAGAGGAAAAATGTGACAAGGAATGTCAAGTCTTTATTTGACCTTTCACAAGTCAATTAAAGGTGGCAGAATTCAATTTGGCTCTGTTTTTCCTGTGAAGGCTCAAACTATTTTATAAGTAGGCATCTGCTAAAAAAATGTCTGGTTGAGACAGGATATCATTACTATCAGGGGCTTCATTTTAATCAGGGATGTGTCTCATACAGTCCAGTTAGGACAGCTAAATTTATAATGCAGTGTGAATGCTTTTGAAACACACACTGACGTTGGCATGCAACTACGTACAGACAGCATGTGCGTCAGTATCCTAGCATCACCTTAAATGTGTCATTGACTGTGATGAGGTGCTACCCTAGCACTTGTCAATCAATCAATAATTGACTCGACAAACAACTTAGACAACATACTCATTAATGTCTGCATTACTTTTCCCTGCAAGCACAAATGAGACAAGAGCAAATGTGAAAAATCAGACAAATAATTGGTTCACAAATCAATACTGTCACAACTATTAAGACATGATCGGAATAGACAGCATTCGGACCCAAGACAGAAGGTCTGACCAAGGCTATTATTGCTATTGATTGATTTCTGATTGATAAATTGTGGAATGGTGACGTGGAAATCAAACAACCAAAGGGGTTTCAGACTGCCCTAGGCTCCATAACTCCCAGCTATACCCCTGCATACAGATGTGCAAATGCACCTGAACAAAAAGTGCAAGCGCTCTGACTGCAAAGTGTTGCTTTGGGACGTGCACTGAGTCATAGCCCGGGCCGCCAGTTTTCAAAATCAAGTGCATTGAGTCACGACACAGTTTTCAGCTTTATGCAATGAATTCCACCATCACTACTTCCTCCACTCACACCGACGTAGCTCATGCCCTCCCACATCTCACATGCTCTCTCACACATTGTCTACATGGGTGCGGGTGGCTGTTTTGTGTGTGGGCGTGCTAAAAAACCACAAAGAGATTTTCCGCATCCCCGTCGAACACGATCTCCTCCTCCACTGATGCTCCCACTGCTGGCAAAAAAAATCGACGCACCAGCTTAAAAATAGTATTTAATGCTGCATTTTAAAGCCAATGGTGGCAACATAATATGTTGGTATTAGGACAAATACATATATAACTGAATAAAAGACATTAATGCAAGGATATAATATGGGAATCCACCACAATGTGTTTCATTCGTGAAAATCACAAGGACACAAATAATATCCCTTATAATATTCTCTAGTTATGTGATTTACATTTTTTTGTATTATCAAATCTTCCATGAAAAATTGGACATCCAGGATAGGTCCTCAGGTAAGACAAGCAGCTGTAATTTTGGAGAAATCTGAAGTTGCTCGACATTTTGAAGGTGACAAGTGTTGCGCCTCAGATCCTTTAAATTACGTAGGTGGGCTGTGTTGGCAGGAAGTGTGTCCTAATATGGCTCGAGAAGGACGAGATTCTGGGGGAATCTCGTTAGCGTATTGATATGCGCGACCACGCAGACAAACGCCCAGACCATCCTGCAGCACCCACGCTCACTATCAAACCGGGGAAGCCTTGAATCCCCTGCTGCTGTTAAGATACTGTATAAGGCAGAGTAAATTGTTGCTGTTCTTGGTTTTGTTTATCCTCACCATTCACATCTTAGCACATGCGAACAGGCACGGTCCTATAAGATTTCTAAATTATCTAAGGGTTATTATTTAATTATTATTATTATACATATAGATATAAAGATACGTTTTTTTTAAATGAGGCGTTTATTCAAGTCTGTGATTCATTTTGAGGCTGCTCATCCCCAAGTAATAATAATACAAATAATGATACCAATAATACAATAAAAACAACAATAATAACAAGACACAATATATGTAGGTTTTGACTATGGAACGGGGCAATTATGTCCTTATCCGTTCAATTAGGTGGATAGTTTTCCCTTGAAGAGTCAACTACAGATTATTGTTGCTCTGCAAAACATCTCTCCCCATGACTCATCCTGATGCGTTTCAGCACCATGGACAGCGCCATGCCCTAAACTCTGCAGCTCCACACCTCTGAGCCCTGCCCAACACAAAACACTATCGTCTCATTCAACCAGCCCCGGGGTCTTATTCAGAAAATCTGTGTGTGCTGGAGGGGAAGGGATCTATTGGTGGTCATTATTTACAAGAAACAAGAGCAAGAGTGAACCGCAGTGGGAGGGGCGACAGAGTTGCCGCATTTTTCTGAATGAAATTACTCCCTTTACACCCCCTCCCCTCTCCCCGTATCGTCAATGTCGGTAGCTCATTGGTCGAGCCTTCCAGTCATTGACGTCAGACAGCCTCTCTTGTGGATGAATCCGCGCGCAAGAGCACCCATTCTGCCTTCCATGAGCGCTTCGGAGAGATTGAAGAAAAGGAGATGCACGAGACGCCAAGTGAGACTTTGGCGCAACTTTGATGAAGACAGGAGCACGGGGCGGTGTCACACACAGGGACTCTCATCCTTATTTAGACTGGAACCGAGCATCACTGCGGACAGCATCACCACATCTCCATCATTTGGCTTGGATCTTGTAAGAGGAGAGAGCAAATCTGTTTAACTCTTGCAAGGGAATCGCGGAATCGCGTTAGTAAGGTAAGATTAATAATCTATTATATGTATTTATAGCACGTGTGTGTGCGATGTGTGTGCTTGTGTCAGGGACATCCTCCGTGTCGCAATGAACCTGCAATTGTATTATACAACAGGGTCTTCCGCACGGGGGAGTGGGATACACCTCCTCTCCTTGAGGATGAAAGATCCTTGATGCATTTAAACCCTCTCCATAAGCCAAAAATAAATAAACTTAAAATATCCACAATGTTTTACATGGTGTGGAGTTTCCTTTCAGTGACGTGCGGTACAGTTTGACATGTGCTAAAGAACAAGCAGACCATAAAGAGCACAGGCATCTTAACCTTGTAACGGGCCAATTCTTTAAATAGCCCGATCAATAGCACGAGCTCTCTCATTAACATATGCAGTTTTAACCAGCCACATCATAAAAGATATTTAAGATGTTTGATGCTCCTGAAACGTGTGCAGGAGAATAAACAATGGTTGGACGCAAGTACCTGCACGGATTCCGATTGACGTGCTAACAAAAACAAAAAAAAGCAATCAATGACAGCGTAATTATGCATTCGTGTTTTGGTAACTCTATCTATTAAGTTGAACTGAGCCTTCATATTGATTGACTACTTGCGTGACTACCCGCAAAATGGTGACGTCAGTGACACTTCAGAGCAGGTTTAGCCTAATATACAAAAAATCATTTGAGATCATTAAAAAAAATAAAAATGTGAGCATATTTACAGGCTGAAAAACAATTAAGTGCAATTTCAAAATGGGTCCTTACAAAAAATGCCAGCCTAGAATGGTGCTCATAATCTGTATTTTGTATTTGTTTGTGTTCTGTAAATACATATTTTGTATTGCAGTGTAAAGGCTAGTTTATTATTATTATCATCTTTAAAGCTCATCCAGGCACAAGATGGGTTTAGGCTATGAATTAGTTCAACTGGAAATAGAACCATATATGTAGCATATTAGTTTAATCAATGATTACTGTATGCTTGTTTATCTAACTGAATAAATATATATATTTGTTTTAATCCCTCTGTATAATAATAATAAAAAACAATAAAAGACAAAATAACTAGGAGCAAGAAGGGCTTGACAATCGTAAATGGTCTACCACTTAATGCACTGATAGTGATTGTTAGCTCAACTGCTTTACTCTTCTGCTCTACTGGATACCACATCTGGCCTCCAGCAGCTCCACAGAATGAAACCACAGCTTCTGATCAAAGAAAGGCTGTTTAATGGACCGATGGAGAAGCCAATGACCCATTAAAGCTAATGCCAACATCTCTCTCCTTTTTTCTCTCTCTCTTAGGTTGTTTGTGTGACTGCTGAAAAGCCATGACCCTGAACGTCTCTGACCTAGGCTGGGATGAGTCCTCAGGGGCAGAACCCTTCTCTCCTTTAGACCAACTGGGCAGCTCATCTACGTATGAAGTCCCGCCCCTCACAGTGTGGGGCGTGGCCCTGTGTGTATCAGGAACTCTCATTGCCACTGAAAATGCAGTAGTTGTCACCACCATCTTGGCCACCCCGTCTCTTCGTGCACCTGTTTTCCTGCTGCTTGCTAGCCTCGGATTGGCCGATCTCCTGGCAGGTGTTGCTTTGATCTTGCACTTCCTCTTCCTGTTCTGCGTTGAGCCCAGTGATTGGTCAGAATTGCTGACCTCAGGACTGCTGGTGACATCACTGACTGCCTCGCTCTGTAGCCTGATGGGTGTTGCTTTGGACCGATACCTGTCCTTAAGCCACGCCCTCACCTATGGCTCAAGCCAATCCCGTCACAGAGCCGCCGTCCTCCTGCTGCTGGTCTGGTTGGGCGCATGTGTCATTGGGGCGGGACCTGCAATGGGATGGCACTGTCTGGGAGAGCCAAACTCCTGTTCTGTAGCGCAACCTCTGACCCGGACATACCTATCGTTGCTGTGTGGTGGCTTCCTGGTGGTTGTAATGGTAACCCTGCAATTGTACGCTGGGATCTGTCGAGTGGCAAGGCGGCATGCCCACGCCATCGCTACCCAGAGGCACTTCCTTCCTGCCAAACACTCATATGCAAGCAAACACAGCAGTGGAAGGGGCTTCTCGCGGTTGATCGTGATCCTCAGTGTGTTTGTGGGCTGCTGGATGCCTTTCTCCCTCTGGGGGCTGCTAGGAGATGCATCCAGCCCTCCTCTGTACACCTATGCCACCTTGGTGCCGGCGGCGGGCAGCTCGCTGCTGAACCCGATACTCTACAGTCTAAGAAACAAAGACATTCGTAAGGTGCTGCTCCAGGCCTGCTGCCCGCACAAATGCACACAAAACACACACATACACTACCCCGTCGATGTGTAGACTGCCAAACCTCGCCAGACTCAAACCGCCACACAATCTATGCTAGACATATCACTGTTTGTGTGCCAAGATACACACATAGCTGCATTGACTATCATCCAGAACCAGAACATGAAGTCACACACATGCAAGAAGCACTTCTCCGGGAGATGAAGTCCCTCTGCAAATCAGATTGTTCTGCACTGTCCTGGCTGGTAGCGATTTTGGGACTAAACATACTGTCTCGTGTGTACTTTGTGCCTCATCCTCAGTCAATTGTAGCTCCACTGGATCCCCAGACTGAAACAATCACAGGGACGCTCTGTAGAACCTCACTCATAGAAAGTGGATTCAATCACCATTGGCACTTTAAAAAGGGGAGGAAGGGTTTGGTTTTACATGTAAGCCTATCGCAATGTAATGAAATGTGATCCAAAGCCCAATTTTATTTACTTGAATGTCGAAAACACAATGTTCTAGATCTTCTGAGATTCTATTTTGCACATGCTGTTGAAGGCAGTTTGAAGGTACTGACCATATGTTTGGGTTGCACAGCCTTTTTGAAATGAATGAATATTTTATATCGATGAATAATAAATATGCTTTTTTTCTCTACCGGGCGACGTCAGCACTCTTCTCTTTACTGCTGCTGAGGCTTTCAGTACGTTTGTCTCCGTCTCTCACTCTTGAACACGATTAGGCACAGACTGCTGCGCTCTATTCCTGTATCCTAAATTATTTGGTGGCTAAAGCAACATTCAACATTATTACCATCACTCTGCATCCACTGCGCCCTTCTAAAACCTACAAAGCAGGCTTGGTGTGAGGATAAAGCGATTATGTAAGAGGTTTTCTCTCTTCTCCTACTCAATTTCTGAACTTTAATCCAATTGATTCATTTTCTCGCTCCCTACACAGTCGGCACTGTGAGAAGGTGTCCACCACTGATAGGAAGAAGATGAGTCACGGATAAAGCATGAGCAGTCTAATGCCAAGGCTCAACATTCTTGGGAACTTTGTTATTCAACACATCACAGCATACACACTATTCATTCGCACTGGAAAGAAATCTAAACAATCAGTGTAATTCACTCCATCTTTATTGAAATAACAATAATCATATGCAAATGTAAGGCAGGAGAAGCTTTGGCAAAGCATGCTGTGCGATTGTGCGTTAACACAGGTGGATGTCAAATAAAAAGGCACTTGAGAAATATGTGGTCCTCACTAAACATCAGTCGGCTCCACATTTCACACATCGTCGGCAGCTGATAATATTTTTGGAAGAAGCGGATCAGTGGCCAGTGTGGATAACCAAAATAAACCTGCACTGACACTGAAATGCAGTATAAAAAAGGCACTTATCAGACAGCAGGCCAAGTGCTGCCCGAGTCTACACAGAGCAGTGATTAAAGCACAAGAGCCGAGTTAATCCCCAGAAAAATTTCAAAAGAAAATTCTGCAGGAAGGAAACGCGTAATAAACACAAAGAGAATGTCTGCATATGTTCAGTATCTCATCAAACACCCCAGGTGTCTGCCATGAGCCAACACTTTCTCCGTCACGCTGAATAATTAATTCATGAATTTATTTATAAACTACAACCGTGTTTCATCCACAAGTGATGAGTGTTCCCGTGACAACCACAGAAAGAAAGAATTGAAAAAAGTGATTAAAAAAAATGGTGCTTTAAAAAGGGATATGAAAGGATTGCATAATTATCTTTAGATATGATTCGATATGTTACATAAACTTTACATGTACTTTATCATATAATCTACGAGTGAGAATGTTTTGACGATAGTTTGTGTCTTTCTACCGAGCAGATGCAGATACTGTGCTCCCTCTCGATTATCCTTTGCCGTAATATCCTTAAGCAGATAAAATCAGACGTTTAGCCGACAGCAGAAGGCGCCTGACTCTAATATACGCCGAGATAAAGACAGAGTTGATCCGTTTACGCACAGACTCAGCAGAGAGACGTGCGTCATATAACATTCACATCAATAACAGCGCCGTGTCGCTCAATAGAAGCAAATGGGGACACAACCAGGCGCACTCACACTCCATCTCTGGACCGTTGCACTGCTCGGAATAATGTTGGATAAATAAGAAAACAAATGGTTCAAGGAATGTGAACTTGCACATACAATGTGTGCATAACGCACTCAAACTCTGACACACACAGAACAGGGAACCCTGCTGCACTGCTGCTTAAGAATGTGATTTGAATGGAAATACGAAGATGTTGTTGAAGGCTGAGGAAAGATACAGAGGTGGTCGTGAAGGTGAAAAGGGAACGGCTATTACTCGGACCACTCTTCATCGTCAAACTCCGAGGAGTCATCCTCGCTGTCGCTGCACTCTACAGCGATACGACGGGACAGGATGGCAGCCACATCGTTGCCAAAGTGATCCCTCTTCTCCTGCTCCCGCTGGGCCTCCGTTTTACGCAGGTTGAAACCTAAAAGGGTGTAAGTGAGGACAGTCAGGGAGTGTGCGCCTCACAACAGCAATTATATTCCTTTGAGGACAAATTAGCTCGCAATAAAAGCCGTAATTTATGACAACGGGTATATTTTAGACCAAAGCAGTGGTGGAAGATGTAATCAGTTCCCTTATATTTAGGTAAAAGTAGTACCAGCAGGTAAAAATACTTTGTCACAAGCAAAGGTTCTACATTACATAATTATTATGAGCAAAGTGTACTTAAGGTGCCCTGTAGAGTTTTTAGCCACTAGTAACACCATGTAGTAAAGTTTTTACAAGTGGGTTCCTGTTTTGTTTGCACGTCCGAACACGCAGCAAAGTATTAATTTAATTTATTCATTCATTCATCAAATTTAGAGCCCTATATCACTATTTTCCATACGACTCACTTTGTCATATTTTGTGGTCTGGCGCTTCAAAATGTATACAACGGGGAAACTGATTGCGAGACGTGGTTTTACATCAATATATGATGGTGGCTAAAACAAAGCTAGCTAAAGACTTGGCTAACGATAGTGGAATTTAGCTCATGTTAACTGCATTTGTTGAGCAAATCAAGCCATGCGAAGCTTTTTGTGATTATGAACACGATGAACAACATGCAGCAGGCAATCAACTGTAGTTTGTAAAAAGTCGAGAGGCCAGACCACTGAAGTGAGTAAACCAAGATCAAGATCTTCCCTTCTATGTTGATCCGTTTCCTGTAGTGTCTCACCTTGTCGGATGGCCTGCAGCAGGTCAGTACGAGGATCATCAACAGGCTCTGGCGGAGGTTTAGGAGCAGAGCTAGGTTGCGCCCCACCACCGGAGGGAGGAGGGGGAGCAGAGTTGCCAAAAGATGAGGGAGGTGGGCCAGGGGGAGGTGGTGGAGGAGGAGGGGGTGGACCACCGCCACCTGCAGGCATAGGTGGTGGTGGAGGAGGAGGAACATTGGACATAGCAGGTGGAGGAGGGGGAGCAGGTGGGGAGGGATAGCCAGATGGAGAGGAGGAGAACGGAGGAGGGGAAGGTGTGGAGTCGAAGCCGGGGGGAGGTGGGGGAACCCCAAAGCCAGAGGGTGGAGGAGGGGGAGGAGGTGCAGGGGGAGGGGCGAGGTTGGGGCGAGAGTTGGCATTGGGAGAGGTCATGGGAGGAGCAGGAGGTGGGTGGTTTGGACTCTTCGGGGTTGGAACTCCGTATCCTCCGTCATTATACCTGCAAGTGAGTTAAAGATTGAAGTTAAATGACTAAATGGACCCTTCATTTGCCTCCAATCAACCTTCAATTTCTTTGCAGCTGCAATCTCAGCCTACTCATTAAAGAGGCTGAAAGTGAACAGCAGGTTTATGATCTATTTTGCTAATGTTGAACCCTATACTTAAGAGGATGTGTTTAGGACTGCAGTACAATTGTACAGTACACGTGTAGCTGTACATTCAGCACATGTTGGCAGGGATCGGCAGCGTGTGTGGGCAAGATGCTACTTACGCCATGTCTGGAGGTGGAGGAGGCAGGAAGTCATCAGTGCCAGGCGGAGAGAGAGGGGAGCAGGGTTCATAAGCGTAGGAGCTGGAACTCATCTCAAAGCCGTCTCCAGATCCAATACTGCCATTTAGGCCCTCAGAAGAATTCCTGAAAACAAATTTAAGACATTACTTGTTTTTTGTCATCTTGATTTTTCTGAATCCTTGACATGCAAAGGACCGTGGTGATTATAGCATCTACAGACCTCAACAGCAGTTGTGGGTCATGTACTCTTTGTTCAGAAGTACACAGCACACAAATAGTGACGCTGAAACACAGCTATTTAAATAGCACAAACTATAGTCTTTGAGATTGTTTTCCTCGTGAGGCCTGGCTTGTAATTGAGTTATAAAACAAATCAAATGGTAAATCACTTTTAAAACAGACTGTTGTTTATGTGCTCTTCATTGTGTTTTTTTATTCTATATTCTCTTATTTCCCATTAATTTGATAAAAATGTACCGACGAATAAATGACCTACAGCAGAAAAACACTCTGGTCTGCTGTGACTCATGCCTTTGTTTACTGCCATTTGCCATTGACAGTGAACGTCACACCCCAACCCCCTGAGAACATTTGCAGACAGGACATACCAACCGTATCACTGTGTACAGATTGGTTGATAAGACAGGAGACAGTGGAATGTACCATGCATGTGGCCCTTCTGTACTTTAACTGTGTCAACTACAGAGAATGACTGTATTCATCACTCTTTACTTATTGCTGGGCAGCATAGACTTCCCCCCCACGTCACAGACTCTCTCAACTTACATCAAATCGTTCTTTGGCACCATAAACTCCTCCCCCATCTTTCGGCGTTCCCATTCATCCTTCCTGGTCTTGATCTTTCGCGGGTTGAGTGTCCGTTGGTTAAGATGGTCTTTCTTCTCCTTCTACTCAGAAAGGAAAGAGTGAAAAAGAGTCACAGAGGGTTGGATACGAATGCCTTTAATCGATGTGACCTATGACGTCCACTTGTTTCAACCAAATCGCTGTCATGTTACTTGTTTTGTGTGTATGAACATACGACAAGACACTTTTATTGTCATTGAAGGCATACAAACGAAAATCACATTTTAGCAACTTTCAATGAGCAGCCGCAGGAGAGCAAGACGATAAGATAGAAACAAGCAGGACAAAAACAAGATAATAAATACTTAAAAAGGCGATGCACAACAAGTTAGATATGAGAATGTTTGTGCGTCTCACTCTGTGCTTGCGTCTCTCCTTCATGATGTCCTTGGTGTCCTGCAGCATCTTCTCCTTCCACAGTTCAAAGAAGTAGGAGGGATCAGTGTAAAACTTCAGGGCCTCCTTCCCATCATCCCTGTAAACAACCGTTTTAAGAACATTATCGTGACATTCGGGTCTCAGCTACACTTTGTGTTATCCTGTGTAAACACACATGCAGAACATACAGTGTCTGCTGACAGATCTTTAACTGCCTTATGTGTACTAACAGTGTACTAACAAGCCATAATCACACTTCCCCTTTTAAAGGCCAACACAAGAAACTACACATTCAAACCAGTCACACAGAGAGTCTTTGTAACATAATGGTACAAGCTTACACACTCACTCTGCTCATCATTGAGGACACTGTTGCAGTTACTGACGATATAGATTCCACCCGCAGCCCCCTTCTGTGCGTGTTCCTAATTAATTATACTTCCGATGACATTAATATTAAGTTAATATTCAAGATCTCAAGGACACGTGTCAGCTGGATTGTGTGACATTTGGTTGTTTTCCCCACATAGGTGTCTTCAGTGCTGCTTGATTTAGTATACTTAGAAGCAGAGACATTTCATTTTAACATCAATGTAATTAAGTCTAACTGTGAATTGTTTGCTTGTTGGTTACAAAAGTTGTCGTCCAAACAAATCAAGAACTGCCTGAACACCAAAGTTGGTCAAAATAAATGTCTCTTTCACATGTTGACACACTAATACACAATAATAAAGAGTCCTGCATCCGCATGATGAATCTCAAGGATCCTGTAAAAGAGGACTACATGCCTCCCGAGAAACAGGATAGACATACCGGCACATTTTACATTTTTATGATACATAGCCATGGAGGTGCATCTGTGAGCCTTACCGGTATTGGCTGAGGTTGTTGAGTGGTGGGGGCGGATTACAGGTTTTGTAGGTGTCCTGTACAGGCATTGGCAGAGACGGCCTGGTGAACAACTGCTGGTCCTGGGTCAGACTGCTGCGGAAGGCCTTACGGGTAGTGATGGCCTGCAGAGAGACTGAGAGAAAAACAGACAGATGAAAGGGAGATATTCTAATATGGAAGCTGTGTGAGTCAGTGTAAACATGTTACATTATATGTTATATTTAGCCGTATTCAAAATGATGAACTACTAACATTGATGAACACTAACATCAGTAGTAACAGTAACATGTGGGAGTACTTACCCTCCTCTTCTTTGGGGTCCAGCTGGGTGACTTTAACCTGCAGACTATCCACTCTATCTCCCAGTGTGTTAACTCTCAGCGCAAATGCTGCAGCCTGGACAAACAGCTCCCCGAACACGTCCTCTGCATATTTGCCTACGCACACACATTATTCCTCGATTACAGTATTTGTCTCACGCATGTGCAATAACCTTTTATAAGTACACACAGCTCATGCACATTTGCCACGTGTTATTAAACATTCACATCATATTTAATGACCGATGACGCCTAAACACAAACAGCAGACACTCACTGAGGCTGCCGAGCTGGCGGATGATGTTGGCCAGGCTGATGTTGGTGACACATTCCAGTTCACTGCGGATGTTGGAAGGGATGGTCTGGCGACACACATGCCGCGGCTCTATATTCCTCGTAACCAGAGGCATGGTGGGACGTTGTAGGTAGAGGGGCCCAACCCTGATGAGGAAGAGGAGGTGAGTCAAAGACATACGAAACAAAAGACAGCCCTAAAAGGTATTACTATCGATTACATACAGCTGTGATACTTGTAAGTCTAGATTTGAAATAATTGAGATTTCAATTAGTTTATTTAATCAACGACAATTTTGATAATAGATTGATCATTTTAAATAATAAGTGCCCGTCGGTAGTTGAAAACAATGTAAATTTAAAAAGGCATCACCATGGGTTTATTAAAATAAGATAAAATTGACAAAGCAATTAATCACAACACAATCAAGATTACCTGATACTAAAATAATTGTTAATTTCATCACTAAATGAGTCACATGCTCTAGTGACCAAGACTGTATAAATAAACCCAGACGGAGCAAAAGCAGAAGCAAAACTAAAGCCTTGAATCCACCCAGTTCATGTGAGACCAGAACATTTATTTATTTACTAACTTAAAAAACAATGTGCAAACTACCAAATTCTGTGCGTGAACGTTCATTTTGACAATGGAAACAGTACCACAAAAAAATCATGAGACGCACTCATGAATGCTCCATATAAAGTTATTCTTCAAAGAATGGTGACGTCATGGCACAGATGTCAATACGAGGTGGATTCATGTCTGCACTTTTCTTTGAGTTGGCACGCACATTGAGGTGGGTATTTTTCAAACATAATGTAACACTTTTATGTTTGAAAAAGTGGAAGTTGTTACAGCTGTATCCAGTTGACACAACGTGTGGTTGGTAATATCTTCGGCAGTAACGTACAGTCAACCGTTCTCTGTAAAATAGACACACTGAATGATGTATGTTTCACTAATAAGTTAACAGTCTTGGATAAACTCTAAGCAAATCAGTCGGGAGCGCTACACTTTTACGCACGAGCTAAAATGGGCTAAAATGTGACATGGGATCTCGGCCTTGTCAGAGCAGGAAGTAACTTGTCGGCGCCTCTTGTCTCGAAGAAACACATAAACAAAAGTGTATTTACACCCTTTACTTTATGGAAACAACACCGGCTAAACATATTTACTTACCGTCAAAAATGGGAAACGCAGAATCTATCTAACGTATACAGTCTGGTTGTTATCGTCTGTCAAGATTTCCACAAGAAATGTTCGGCGGTACAGTACACAGACGAGCTAGACAGATCCCTGAAGTCCCGGGATTGTGAACTTCTGATTGGTCGACCGACTGAGTTCCTCACAGCTGATTGGCTACCGCGCCTGTCACCTGGTTTTGCTGAAAACAGGATGTGGAAATTTCAACGTAAATAGCGCAACTCCACCCTGACTAGTGGCAAACATCTGTCCGTAATTTGCGTAAGGGAGGGTGGAGGCAGACGCACATTCCTAGGTACGCTCCACCGAGTTGGAACGCGTCCGAGGAATGACTGGCATTGGGCTGTATGCATAAGAGCTCACTGTTGAGAAAAGCACTTATGGAGATAAATAACTGTCCTGTGAGCCTTGCTTGATTAGAGTTAAGTGCATCCTTCACCTCAACTCAGCCCATGCAAACTGGAAGTATACAGGGTTTATGTGGGGAGAGGAAAAACCAGTCTCCAGTAAAGATTAAACAATTTATTATAAGTACTTATAAGTATAGGAACGTGTGGTAAATGGTAGAAATGAAACAAACATTTTTAAATGCTGCAATAAGATAACAAGTATAGCCATTTTGCTGTGCACTGTCTATATTAGACTTATTTGTGTTGGAATAAAGAGTACAGCCCACTTCTTTTATTATGATTTATCGATTAGATGCAAATATGTTAAAAAGAAAACAGAAACTCTATAATTCAATTACTTCCCTTAAATATATATATATATATATATATATATATATATATATATTTAAGATCAGGTTAGGTATCACATAAATCACAATTTATATTCATATACAGCCCCTTCATCTTTGTTTTCTTCTCCTATAAGGCAGATAAACAAAATAAAAACATCAACATCAAGTCACGAGTTGTAAGTGTACTTCATATACACTATATCAAAGGATGGTTTTGCTGTGTTTGCTAGTGGGTGCACGGCCAATCTAGAAAGGAAATAAGATGCTTAGTTTATCAACCTTCTTTCATTCAACTTTAATCCAACAAAAGTGTAGAACATTGTTTCTGCCAGATAACATAAATGTCATTGTAATGTATATGTGTTATATATAACCCAAAACTGACAAATTGAACACATCTTCTTATGAAATTACAACCTTTTGTTACCAGGGTTGACCGGGATTCCCCAAAGAAAGACAAAATGGCAGTCAAGGGCTTCTGGCTTTATTTGGTATTGTAATGTTGTATTAATGCACGTTTCTAACATGGTTTCACTGTTTTCTTTTCTGTATATTTCACACTAGGCACTAATAGTCTCACTATAATTAAAGCTTCTCTTCAATGTAAAGAATTATTGCACATAAAAGCATTTAAGGTCCACAAGGATGTGCACAAATACATTCAATAATCTGATAATTTAAAGTACAGCTGGGTCAAACCAATGCAAAAAGGATCACACTGTATGATATAATATATTACATTGATAAAATCACTCAACTGAAAAAAGAAAAGAAAAACTGAAAATGCGTTGGTACCCACCAGACAGCTGTTTGATATTTACGACAAATTAAGACACAATCCAACAATTCCTGCGATTTACATTTATTTGCTGTTTTTTATGCTCCAAATTACAAAAAAATAATTTGAGGACCAAATTATAATATTGTCGCCCTGTTGCTCAGTTAAATCAGAAAGCCCACCTTCTGCTCCATATTTGGTCAAATTAGCCAGTTTCTCGACAGTCACAACGGCATTTCCTCTGAGGGTGGAGTCATACAAAGGCAGATCCTTTCATCTCCACAAGAGGGAGATGTCATCTTAAGAACTGTGTTTCCCTGAAATATTTTGAGTTTGAAGTTCTTCTTATTGTTTAAGGCCATCCACAATGTCTGGTCATGTGTGTACACCTGTGTTCACTCATGTGTCATCACCCTGTGTTGGCCCAACTGAGTATGTAGGAGCTGTGACCCTTTGCTACTGTCTGTTTTAGGACACTGTGACCCTCTCCTGCAGAGCTGTGGACCAGCTTCAGCCCAGAAGCTTGGAGACCCTGTAGGACACTGAACCAATAGTGGAGCACTTCCTCATTGGTTCCGCCCACCTCAAACCCGGCCCATTGGAGGTGAACCTGGGCAACCAGATGATGAACACTCTGCAGAGTTCCCGACTCAATCCAGTTCTGGAAAACTCGCCACTCAGCACTGAGCAGGTCAGCATACAGGAAATGAACCTAAAGAGGATATAGAGAAGAGACAAGACACTCAGTATTCTTCTGTAGCACTGCACAACTATGTATTCACAATAGACAGTAATTTGTTTTACAAATTACTTTTTAAATTTCCATATCAGAAAAAACGTTTTGCTCTTAAAATAGAAGCAAATTGAGATGGCCATCATTATAAAAATGTATCAGGCATCTGTTGTTGTCATTGCAAGAGAAAAGCTTGTTGGAAAAATGTAAAATTGTAAAAATGTCCTGTTACTGTCTGCATTTCTAATAATAACAACATGTAATGATTGTTTCATGTTGTGTAAAGACTTAATCAGTTAACTCAAATACTTTAAAATGTCATGAATGTAAATCTTCTACCGCTTCTTATAGAGTCGAACCCACACTTACTCAAACTGTGAGTGTGCGGGTCCCTCTTGTGGCTGCAGGATGTAACTGGGCCAGTGTGTGATTCACTTACTTAAATTGTTGCCATGGCAGCCAGGGATGGCGCAGAGCCCTGTTGCCATGGGAACATACAAGTAAGAGAGCTTTCTGGGTATGTTGGGGTGAAAAGACTCAAAGGTATGTTTCTCCAAATGTCTGTGCGTGTGCGTGTGTGTGTGTGTGTGTGTGTGTGTCTTACTGTGTGGTGTCCCAGAGACGCCATGATGTCTGCCAGTGTTTGAGAAACACTACCCAGGCCGCCTCTGGTCTTCTTCCTCCTCTTCCTCGGCGCTCTCCACTCCAGCCACATCTTGTGCCGGCGGACCACGCCTCCATCACCATGGTTGCTGGCCAAACTGTTGCCAAGGTGACCACCAGATGCACTGGAGCTGCTGGGATCAAAACTGTGGACTTCACATCCCAGCCCTGACACAGTCTTCAGAAAATCTGCATCCAACCCGTCCATGCTAGAGAGACAAGAAGAAAAACAAGAAAAAGGACAGATAACAGAGAGGCGAGGGAGAACAACGGTGGTTTGAAGATTATTGCATGCATGATTATATATGCATTACACTGTTTACTCCAATTCTGCCAGCGATATGAATGAATCACATGCACACGCACAGACACATGGACATAATGTACAGACGTATGGGCGCACCTAAAAGAGTATGCAACACACGGCCTATCTGCAGCTGGAAGGAGCCAGTCCTCAGCACACAGCAGCCAGCAGGGTGAATCGGCAGGGGGCAGTGAAGCCCGAGTCTGACCTGGAGACAAAACCCTGGAGCAGTTCAGCTGGAGATGGACAGGAGAGGAGAGGGTCACATGAGAGGGGCTGACTAGAGGTCTGAGAACAGTCAGTCATGCAGAATTAGCATACAACCAACCCTGAGAAAGAAAGAGAAGTTGTGCGAAAGCTCGCCTGGTAAAATTTGTGGGAACATTTCAGACAGTGAGGGGTGTCTCCAAGTATTAAGGAACACAAAAATGACTCTTAAATGTGAGTTTCAGTTGATGATAATCCTTAACTTGAGTAACTTTGAGAGCCATCGCAACTTCTTGCAGGTATTGAATAATAAACATGCACAATATACTTGGTTTAATAGGTTTTCTTCCCAGTTCCCCAGCACCTGGTGTTACATAAGGTTTAACTCTTGTGTTGGAGTTTCTAGTCTGGAACTGAAAGTCCTCACCGGCTTCAGATTTTGCAGAATTCTGCTGCCAAGATACCGACAGCGCCTGACTGATCATATTACTGCTATGTTAACCCCCACACTGGAAGTCTGCAGTTGAAGAAGTGAAGTAGTTGAAAAAGTGAAGTTTTTATTGATTATTTTTAAGGTTTGGCAGGATCTAACTCTTGGCTGCAGTATCGGTAGATCCCTAGTTGGCCAGAGTGTATTCCTAAGACATTCTGGGAGGGCCCGATATATTTTACAAGTGGTTTCAAACCTGGTGGTCAGGGCTCTTTACCATTTGAACAAAATGCAACAGTTTCACACAGTTAAAATATACCATATACAGTAAATACAAATCAGAATTGTCCAAATTGTGTATAGAGTTTATGATATTAGTGGCCTTTAAAGTGCCTTCAGGCATTTCACACATTGACAGCTGTGCTTTAGGTGATGTTATGTGAAGCCTACCTGTGGCCTGGTAATATATGTGATGATACGATCGAGTTCTGCTGTGAAGGACGGCTCGTCTGCCGCCCACGGTTGCACCTCCAGGGTTCTGGGTCCCATCTGGGAAGATGCACACAATACATATCAATATATTATATATCAATATGTGAAGAGGAATGACAGTAATGTGTGTGAGTGTGTCTGTCTGCTGCAACCCCCCTGCCCCAGGTATGAATGCTGAGGAGGCAGGTCACAGCCTCTGACCTCAGTCCTGCAGGTAACATATTTGCCTGAGGCACTGTAACATACAAACACACACACACACACACACACACACACACACACAAAGCCCCCCACCCAACTCACACTGAACCCTGTGGTCACCATGGCAACCTCAGCGGGGAGTTGAGGGGGGGTTGATGATTCACTAGAATGAGTCAGAGAGTTTAGCCTTGGGCAGAAAGAGACAGTGAGAGAAAAGGAGAATGAAAGAGAGAGGGGGTGAGGAGTGAGGGTAAAGAGTTTGAGGTAAAGAGAGGACAGATGCACCCACACACACACACACACACACACACACACACAGAGATGAAGGTTGGAGCTCTATCCAACTGAAGGGAAAAAGAGAGAACAGCTGTCACCTCTCTCTGATCTGAAGTCTGTGCTGTGCTCACCCTCTGCCCTCACCTGTTCCATAGAGCTATGCACAAACTGACACAGCATAATGGATCACCTGGATGAGGAAACCACAGCAGCAGTCTTTTTTTAAAATCTGTTAATCTGTATTCCTAAACTGAGCATGTCGTTTCCTGAATGACATTATCTGTCTTCTACTGACTTATTTTACCTGAGGTTTAACCCAATATAGCATCATATTAAGCTTGGTGTGAGTAAATAGTTTCACCTAATATTCAATATGTAGGTGAAGACGAAAATTGTCATTTCCGCAAAAAAGTCTATTCATATCAATACATAGACTGTTCTGTTGCAATAGGCTAATGTAATACAGAAACATTTATCTCTCGTGTTATACCTGGCGCGAGTGCATCTCGTTCTCATCCTCATACGCTCGTGCCAGCTCCCTCCTCTCCCCATCTTCCACCTCTACCTGCTCCTCCTCCTCCTCCTGCTCCTCCTCCTCCAAACCCGGACGCCGGGACGGGGATCCCCGTTGGCGTGAGTTCCTGTCCTGTTCGATGCTGATAACGGAAAAGGCCACCTCTTCCTCCACCCCCGTCCTTGTGTCTCGCGGTAACCGTGGTCCGACGACGAGGAGCTGGAGCGCTAGGAGAAACGGGGGGATTAAAAGAAGTAATATTCCAGAGAGGGGGAGACTTCCGCGGCCGCACCGCCGCGCACAGCTCCGCATACCTCCTCCTCCGTGGGGACACCCGGGAACATCTCCGGCGCGGTGCCCTGTGATTCTACTTTTTTTTCTCAGTAGGGCAAGAGAGGAAAGTCCCTGCTGAGAACACCCCTCCTCCTTCTCCTCCGTCTTCTTCTCTTTCTTACCTCCAGGGGAAAGTTGTGATGACGAAGCACATTCCTTGGTCAAATATGGCCTTATTGACACAGTGAATGCCGCTTTATTTGGCTCATAACGACCTCATACAGTTTAAAATGAACCCAAATGTTGTTTAAAAAAAACAAAAACCTCCTCGGTCATACACTGAGAAAACTTCTCTCAAGAAATGAAAGGCGTTAGGTTTTTGCTAAGCAACATGCTAAATTAAAACTCCTCATGTAGATTCAAGTTGAGCTGGTGAAAGTTGTAGCTAAGCGACACACAAGCAGCTCTCACCAGTATCAGCGGTGACATCACATTTAGCCTTTGTTTTATTGTTATCACTCATATTTGAATTAGTAATATTATTGATGAAGCAAAAACTGAGTAGTCACTGCTTGTGACCTGTAACATGTACCTTTACTCAAGTAGACTACTATACAGTTTTGAGGTCATCTTTACGACTACTCCACTCCATATCAGAGGAAAATATTGCACAGCTCACGTTTTGCATGATTACTAAACCTATATATTATCTTACAAAATAAGATACATGTATAGGCTATACCAACTGAACAATTGGATCAAAGGAGCCTTCTCCTATAGTAACATTTTTAGGCCTACTTTAAGCAGCTACATTTTGCTGATAATATTGTTAAACTTTACTTTCAATGCAGGACTTTTACTTGTGATGGAGTATGCCTTACATTGCGGTTTCTGCTTATAATTATGCCATCAAAAGATCTGAATACTTTTACCGCTGATTGAGGAATAACATTACAGTGTGTGGCAGCTTATAACTCGCTGAGAGTATGGATTCTAGTCGGCTGTAATTTAGTTTGAAATGCTGCTATTATGTACAGTCGCCCACAAAAGAAAAGTCTGAAAGAGAGCTGTTGCTCGGCACCTTCTTGCTCTCTGTCTGTCATGTAGCGTTGTTCACAGTGTGTGTTCCCTTCCACCATACAGTGGAATGTCAGAGCAAACACATTTCCTCCGGCCATGTCTGAGTCTATTTAGTCAGCCTGTTGACAAACTGTACACAATATGCAGCCAGTAAACTCCCATCTGCTTTCATTCTCTCTCACTCCCTCTATCTGTTTGGCACGCACATGCATACACACACGCTGCAGATGTATAATATTTGCTCTATTATAGCAAGTTTCCCCGTGAGGACATGAAATGAGCGCGGGATCCCTTCCCGTCAGCTCCCTGCTACCACCAGCCTTTTTACGCTGCTACGCCATGTCCTTATTTGGAAGTATTTTGAAACAGTACATATTTGTACATTTAGTTTCAGTGGCTTTAGGACCTCTCCGACACTATTTTCTGATTTCCTCAGTCTGGTTTCTTTTATTTCCCCTCCAACACATCCTCCCCTCCCCACCATCCATTCCTCTCCTCCCCTCCCTTTCACTCCCTGTCGAATTGTGTCCTTGACTGAACTCTCTTGCTCACAGTCCCAGACAGCCTGGGCAAAACCCAATACTCATGGAGGCTCTAAAACACACACACACACACACACACACACACCCTCACACCTCCCATATTCTCTTAAAGAAGCAGTATGGTATAGACAAGATTACCAATGGCAAGAACAGAATGTGTATTTAAATATTTTGCACCTCAGATACGTACATGATATGTAACAGACAGATATACAATTTTTTTCATCACAAAAACCACCAAACAACACAAGACCACAGAAAAAAGAAGGGAGAGAGTGAAAGAAAGAATGGGACCCCGCCAAGACTTTGGTGTCTGGGGAATTTCACTCCTTTTGACCCCACAGGCACGCACACACACGCGCTCACACCAACATAAATGCACACATACACACAAGTACATGCATTACTGCAGTCACGCAAACACACCCTCCTCTGTCTCACATTCGCACACAGAAAACGAGAGTCTCTTTGGGGCCATTGTGTGATTTCAATGTCTCTTTCCCTTGTAGTTAAAACATTAAAACACAGGATGTTGGGTCTCCATGGCGCAGTCCGCTCTCCCCCCAGAGCAGAGAAACCATGGCAGAACGCTGAGGAGAGCGTGTTGATGACGGACCCTCAAAATGAAGCGGGGGCCTCTGGCTTGGAGCTGGAGTCATATGTACAGATGCTGGTATTTCAAGAGCAGAAACTGGTTCAGTCAACTTTTCTCTTATGGGACACAATACAAGGAGTGCACAGAGCGGGACATTTGCTAGGCTCATGGTATTTAAAAAGTTGATTTGGGCTCAGATGCGGTTCACGTTTTGGGGCACAAGACAGAAATGCAGGGTTGGTGAAGGTCGAGTGCAGAACATAGTTGCTGGTTTAGCAGAGGAGGGGAGGTTAAGAGCGAACAGATGACAGAAACAGAAAGAGAGAGTTGTGTGATCGTACATATTGCAGATGTACAGAACAGGACCAGAAAGATTTGGCGAGATACAGACTTCTGGGAAACGGAGTCCTCTATGTATCACAGCAGGACTTGAAGGGGCAAGGAAATAGGTTTGTCTCTGTCCATCAGCGTCTGGTATTCATCTGTCATCTCCTCTTGGCCATGCCCTCGTTCCAGCAGAGAGTGTTAGTGAGTGTTCACATGTATGACTGTATGTGTCCATGTATAGGTAGTGTATTAATCTGCACATGCGTGTCTGTGTGTGTCTGTTTCTGTGTGTGTGTGTGTGTGTGTGTGTGTGTGTGTGTGTGCATGCTTGGGTGTATAAATTGCGGTTGATATTGATTGTCAATGCTGGAGAATTAAAGCTTTACTGTCCAAAGCTGGCAGCTAAATTCTCACCCTTCATTTCACAAACTCTACACAAAGAAGTCTCCTTAACAACAAAGGAAAGAAAAAAAAAGGTTTGCAAATCTGTAAAAGCTTGGATTGAGTGCACCTAAAAGAAAAACAGAGGAAGAGAGAAAGAGGTGAAGAGAGAGAGAGAGAGAAAGAGAGAGTAATATGAGACTATATTTCCGACAGTTGTAAAATGAAAAGCATACAATGAATTGAACCTTGAAACTATTTTACAAGTCTTAGGGGGGTGCACTGTGGTGGTGTTGCTGTTGTACTCTACTTTTATTGGTTTATATAATTGTACTGCAATTTAAGAGTTTACTTTCACTTGAATTTGAAAACTGTTTTGTGAAATATTTCAGTGCTTCATCATCCAATTAAATATCTAGTAATGATGAGCTTCATAATTTGGTGTGTATGTAAAAGGATTAATACATCTTCAAAGTATTTTCTCTACTTATCTTGAATGTCCAATTAAAGAACAATCAATGAACTGCTTTCAAACAAAAGTATGGTCTTCCTCAGTAATCCGACACTCCTCTGGACATTTATATAAGAGCTCTAGTCGTGGTTTGTTAGTTGGTTCTAGGATGGCTTCATTGTGTGTGCGAAAGTTAAATAAACTCACCTGCTGTTACAGGCTGGTGACGCTGAAGCTGTCATCATTGGCCGTGTCCAGGAGCTGGCAGAGCACCCCGCCTCCCTGAGCCGCTTGGGAGGGGTAGCGGTGTCCAATGCCCTGGTAGGACTGGTGGGACAAGGAGTAGCCACCAGTGTCCTCCTGATGGGGCGAGGAGTCCAGGGGAGGTTTGGGGTATGGGGAGTGAGGCAAGGGGCCCTGGCGGTGGCCTGTGCTCATAGCGTGGGGGGTCAGATCCCGCTTGTGGGGGGGCAAGGTCGAGGGAGGGCTGCACTCCTCATAAAGCACAGGTGTTGAGTGGGAGTGGAGGCTGGTACTGGGGTGTGTGAGGGTGGCTAGGTGAGTGTTGGGGTTGGTGTGTGTATTGTGGTGGGGCTGATTGTTGGTGTGGGGGTTTGAGTGGGAGAGGGGGTTACTCTGGAGCAGTGAGGTGGGATGGGTGTTGGTGTGGGGCTGTGCGTTGTGATGGTGTGTGTCATGGAGGGCCGATATCATGTGTGTGTGTGTATTCGCATTTGGGCTAGCGAGCGGATTTCCGTGTGTATTTCCATGAGGACTTGTGTGCGGGTTGCTGTGTGTGTGCACAGCTGAATTTGAGTGTGCGCTGTGCGAGTGAGGGCTGGGGCTGCCGCTGTGCGACGTCTGTCCGTACCAATAGGGGGAGCTGCAGTAGCTGGGAGAGTCATACTGTGAAAACTGTGGGTCTTTTGGAGGGGGGCGATGCGAGGGACTCAGCGCTGTGGCGCAGAGGGGTGTTATCCGTGGTGAGGGAGAGCAGGAGGGGGAGAATGTCCTGGAGGGGACGGGGTGGTAAGACTGGAGTGGAGGAGGGGTGGGCTTGGGAGGGTATGGGGGAGATGAGACACTTGGTGAGAGGGAAGAGGAGGATTCTCCAGGGTATAAAGCTGGATATCGCTCCTCAGAGGAAGGTGTGGAGGGGTGGGCAGAATAAGGGGAGGGGTACTCACAGGGGTCCTGGAGGTAGCTGGAAGGTGGTGCAGGATTGGGAGTGGCCAGGGGAGAGAGGCTACTACTGTCTCCACTGTAGTAGTCCAGCCCCTCCTGGAACAGCCCAGACCCCTCTGGACCTCCAGCAATCGCTGCTCCAGATGAAGAGGCAGCCTTGCCCCTGCCTTTGGCCCCTGAAGGCCGCTCTCTCTGACATGGAGACAAGCCCCCTCGGCCTCCTCTAGACCCTCTGCCTCGTCCTCCAACCCCTCCCCGCTTAGGTCCAGGAGTAGGCGTTGGGGAGGGACTGGATGGGGAATCAGAGTGTAAAGCAGAACCTCCTTCTTTTTCGACTTGTGGGTCAGTCCGTTTCCTTCGACCCCGACCGGGTTTGCTGGTTCCCTGGAAGAGGACGTTCTGGCTCCAGTTATACGAGGGCCCAGAAGCACTCTCATGCCAATCCATCATCAGCTTCTCCAGGCTGGACAGACTTGATTGACCCCCCTCTCCACTAACAGAAGCAGCCTCATTCAGTTTGTACGTGCCACATGTGGAGCTAGGTCCACTACCAGTGGCTGCAGAGCCGAGATGTGAGGAGTCAGAGGAGGATTCTGATAGACTTTCAGGAAAAGGTTGACGCTTGGCCTTCTGGGGGGTGTAGTTTGAGATATCCAAGATGTCTTTGGACTCACTGGAACCATACTCGCTGTAGCCGTGGTACTGAGGCCCGAAGCTGTCTGTTGACCAGCCACCGTAACCTTGTCTGAAAAAAGAAACATAAATATAGCAACAGAAATTATCAAAAGCACTTGAGGAAAATGTGTGCACTTATGTGTGCAGATATTTGAATTTCCACTGCTCTTTGTTGCAGTTCCACCAATCAGCAAGAGGAACCGGAGGAGGAAACTGTTAATGCATGTTCTGAATGTAGATTACTAGCTGGATAAACACAGTGCACGTTTTAGCCCCAAGTCCACTAGTGTCAGGTATCGACTGTTAATTAGGACATAGTGGACATGGTTAAAATTGAAAATAATATGCTGGAGTGAAACATTTGTATTACGTAATTCACATCTCTTTGATCCTGCTGTGGTTGGACTTTAGTTCGTAACTTAACATTTAATCCCTTATTCATTAAAAAACATACCAAGTCAGAATATGTGTGAAAAGACCACTTGGACATTTCTTGAATTCATTTTTATGTTGTAATGAGAGGACGCACAAGGGATTTACCTGTAGCTCCACTGATTGGTGTTGTACTGTTTGTAACCTTCTGAAGAGGAGCTGAAGGGGCTACTTTTGGCCACAGACATGTATCCTCCTCCTGGTGATATGGGTCCTGTTGACTCCCCCCGCAACATGGAGGAATGACCTACTGCAGGATATCCACTGTAGCCTCGCCTGGCTGCTGTCTGGTAGCTAGAATAACCCATTTGACCAACAGTGGTGGCCTTGCCACTGCTGTGTCCAGATCCATATGCAAAGCTGCAATCTGAGGATCTCTGTGGCACTGCAGAAGAGGAGGAGTAGCCAGATGAGTATTGGCCAAAAGAGGCGGGATGGGGGGAGCTAGGAGAGTGTGAGAGAGATGGAGGAGTGGATTTGGGATAGGTAGAAGTGGTGGGGGATGTTTGGGCCAGGCTGCTATAGCTGTATGGAGGCCTGGCTGAGGAGCAATGTGTCTGGGATGAACCCTCCACCCCAGAACTTGCACCCTTGGAGCTCCACTTGAACGCAGGGGACCAGCTGTGACCCGCAGCTGGACTGGATGGCTCATAACCAGGGGTGGATGAAGCTTTTCGGTGGTCTGACTGCGAGGAGATGTCCAACAGGTCGGATGAATCATCTGAGTCGAGGAGTGACCGGAAATATCCAGCAAACAGGCTTTGTGAGTCCTCCCCAGCTGGCCCAACTCCTCTGCTTCCTCGTGGACTGCTGTAAGAACCCACCCTTCCAACTTCACAGGACGAAAAGCCTCCCCTTGGAGATCCACAGAGCTGATACCCACCCAAACCTTTCTCCTTATCTATACCCCCCTCCCCCCAGCCACCTGCCCCATTGGGCCAGTCCTGCCCTATGGACATCCCCTTCCCTTTACATGCACCATTTTTTCTCACACGTTTCTTCTTGACTACTTTCTCTCCCCCAGACTCAGTCCCTACGATTCCCCCTCCCCTACCACCTGCACCCTTTCCCCTTTTCTTAGGTAATCCATGTTCAGACAAGGGGCCTGGCTTCTGCTTCTTGCCAATGCATTCAAAGAAGTCACTGAATGTGCTCTTATTGCGCTCACTGCCCCCAATCCCCCCAGCTCCTGCTCCACCTCTTCCAGTGCCCCCTCCTCTGCCACCTCGGGGGCGTCTATACCCAGTGAGCCGGTGGAGCAGGGTGGATATTCCAGGATTTTCCAAGGGGGTATGAAAGCTTTCAGGCTCACTGGGTGTCCAGCAGCGTGGGGGAGAGCAGCGGCCAGTGGCAGGGGGCTGGCGGTTTAAAAAGGCCAATTTGGACAGAACATCCCCATACTCTGTTTTCACATCATTAGTATCATTAACATACGATGGATAGGGGGAAGGGAGTTTAGCCCGCCGCCGTCTCTGGGGCTTCTTGGGCTGGTCTCCATTACCGCCAGCATTCCCGGCATTCGGAAGCTCTCCCGGTATTCCTGGCACAGCCTGTTTAGGTGGCCGCCCCCGCCTGCGTTTGAGAATAACCGGTAGTTCTCCAGGAGGGAACATCACCATGACACTCTTTCCATTGTTCTTCATTCGAAGAAGTGCAGTCGGCTCTCTGACTACCTCTGAGCCCTCCAGTCTGCAATCATTGCCTTTTTCTGACCCTGTAACTGTCTCCAAATTGGAAATCTTGTAGCTTTTCTGTCTGCGGCTGAGGCTGACAGGAATGCGAGCCACCTTGACAACAATCTTCCTCACCTGTAAAGCAGAAACCAGCATGAGACATACGCAATTGTAAATTGTATAAACATCTATGCCATACATGGAATGAAACTGTGTGTTATGTCAAGAGAGTAACTACAATGATATGTAACTATAAATTAACTTACACCGACAAAACGTCCACGTCTCCGGTTTTTGGGAGGAGGTACCCCCTCTGCAACAGGCTCCTGCTTCACAGTTAGAGGTGCAGCGATGGTGGATGTGTTTGCAAGTGGGAGATGAGGGGTAGCACTATGAGCCATGGACCGTGCTGCCTGACGCTGTTTCACACTTTTAGGAGCTGCTTTATGGACAGATTTTGGTGCAGGCCTAGACCTGGATTTAGGTCCAGGTTTATGCCCAAGTCTGGGCCCAGGTTTAGGTATAGTTTTAGGTGCAGGTTTGGGTACAGTTAGAGCAAGAGCAATCTCTGTCGGGCAGGGAGCCATGGGGAGATTAGCCTCCACAGAGGAATGCGCTTTTTTCTCTCCAACGGCAACCTCCTCCTCTTTAACCCTCCAGATCTTCTCCTCCAATACTTCATCTTCCTCCTCTACTCCCCTCTCCCGTCCTGCTCTCTTCTCCCCATCCTCTAAGTTTCGGCGGAGGCGGGAGGATTTGCGCAGGTGACAGGGAAAGCGGGGACGTCCAGAGCTGCGGAGTGCATACTTCTTCTCTGCCTCCACAGGAAGAGGAGAAGAGCCTGTGTTTGGGTTTGGACCAACAGGGACTGGACAAAAGGTTGAAGGGTTGTCTGTCTCTGCAGTGAGGACTGGGGCAGCCCGTTGATTGGTGGAGGCAGGATGATTGCCAAGTTCCAAAGGCAGGGGTTGAGGTGAGGTTGTGTGTATGGCCTCTGGTGTGATAGTCCTGGAGTGTTCAGGTCCTACAGAACCCTTAGGTGGGTTGATTTCCATGTGTCCACAATTATCCATGTGTGCTTTCGAAACAGCCTGTGCGTGCACATCCGGGTCAATGTGCGTTTGCATGTCCCTAACTGTCTCTGCAAATGTATGTGTCTCGCGCGGGCAGGTGCTGTGCCCCAGCCTTCTTTGTTGATGGAGGCCGTTCGCCACGGCTGAAGAAGAGGAGGGAAAGAGGTCGGAGGTCACTGGTGCCAGTCCATTTTTAGAGGGATCCTGGGACCCCTCCTGGAGCCCGAGTTCCCTGGTCCAGAGCTCAGGCCCTGCCAGCCCCTCCAGCTCCCCCACACACGCTTTTTCCTCTGCTTGAGTCCCACCACAGCCTACTGGAGCCCCAGTTTGGCCTGAATGTAGGCGATCTGACAAGCCACTCATTCAGTGAGGAAAGACGGATGTTTTCTGATGTATGAAAATGTGTGTTTCTTCTTTGTAAGTCTCTTCCTCTAACAACAGGAAAGATGATTCAATGACCTGAGGACAGAAATAAAAACAGCATTGTAAAAAAAAAAAAAAAATTGTATTATAATATATTATAAAAATCATCAACTGGATAGGAAGTAGACAAATGTGTTAAGAATTCCTTGTTGCATTTAAGACATTTCATCTAAACTCCTTGCTGCTAAATATATTCGTCATCAAACACTCAAAAATTTAAATCAAACATTTGCAGCACAGATTAAATTGTGGCTGTGTGATAGATTTTTTGGCAATGGGCCATGCAGCTAATTCGTAATGCACTCTATTCTATTAACTGTGCCACCCACACAGCAGCATTACAACATTAGATTACATTTACCATTCATACCCGGCTCAATTGGTTGCTTTTACCGAATGGTTGTGGCGCGGATTCCGATTTTGATTCTGAGTTGAGCCTCACTCTGTGTCTGCCTGACTGGCTCTGTTCTGCAGGGGATCATTGGGTCATCAATACTGCAGTGGAGTGCTCAAATACTACTCTCTCACCCCTCTGCTCCTGTCTTTTGCCCATGGTTGCTAGAGTGAGAGAGACAGACAGACAGACAGAGGAAGGGATAGTGTGTTGAAAAAAGCGGGAGAAATGGTGAGTGGGGGAGGAGTGAGGAGGAGGGTGGAGCAGAAAGAAAAAGAGAATAAGAGATTAGCACATGATGTCACAGCATGCATCATCAGACCAGACTATAATCAGTATTTTGGTGAGGGCTGCACCATCTCACATCAGACGCTTTTATTTTGGAGGATGACTTGCAATACACATTTTCTATCTCTATTTTCCAACTTCATTTCCTCGGTTCCAGCAGATTGAAAGTGCCCATGTAAAACAGTGCCACCTCAGCTGTTCTGCTGGAGTTTCAATGTGCTCCATAACAAACACTGCGGACCATGATGAAGACCATGTTCACAGAATCATGTATTGTTTTGTGGGATTGAGTGAGTTGTGCCGCTTTTTTTTTTTTTCAATCCCACCATATTTGTGTGAGTAGATGCACATGTTGTAAAAATCCTCAAATTACAATAAGCAGTTGAGTAGTGGTGAAAAGCACGCAGGACTCACACAGCACGCCACATTTCGCCAAAACTATGGAAATACATTCCAAAGCACAAGACTTGGACGGTGCAACGAGAACGTGTGAATAATCGCAGCCAGCAGGGGGAAGCAGAGAGGTGATGAATAGAGGTGTTGAGAGGATGGAGAGATGAAGGTGACAGAAAGACAGGAACTATAGAGGGATTATGGAAACCCGGAGCAGAGGGGAAATGGATGTACAGACTGCCAGAACACACACAAGTCGTACGGAATCTGCTATCAGACTCACACATGACTGCACACATTCAAAAACAAACACAAGTATATGCGTGCCACACTAGTATATACACGCACGGCTGCCTCCGACACTGTACCACACTCTGCACATACAAAACAATCTTGTCCATCCTCAGATCTCTCTGCCTCCCTCGCCAACATATGGTCCTGATTAGTAGGGAGGGAGTGGGACAGAGAGTGAGGCAGAAAGAAAGAGGGGGACAAGGAGGGGAGGGGGTAAAATACACAAATAAGTGCAAGAATGGGTGAGAGTATGAAAGAGGGCGAGAGACAGAAGAAGAGCAGAGAGGGGAAAGATGCGATTGAGAAAAGGAAAGGATAGTAAGCTGGGCAGAGGCAGACAGATAAAAAAAAGGAGGAGGAGGTAGAAAAAGTTGGCGAGCGGAAGAAAGAGAAGGAGGAGTATGAGAGTTTTGCTGTGGCAAAGTTTAGGGCTGCACACATGGAGCAGACCAACCTCAACATTCTGCTGCTCTGAGGAATGACACAACTAGGACAAACACACATGGAGATGAACACACAACACACACACACACAACACGTACTTTCTTTAACCCCCCTCACCCACTCCCTCTCGTGCCCAGTGCCGTCTCCCTGCCTCTCTTCTCTCCCATTCTCTCTCTCACTTTCTCTCTCGTCTAATTAACAGCGTTCCTTAATTAAGGCTCCATCTGACCGGTGTACGGGAGAGGGAGAAGAACACATGCTTTAATTAAACATTGCTGCACATGTGCTCACACAGACATGCGCGCCCTGTCACTCACAGACACACAAAGACACATGCAAATGTGCCCCCACAGCCTCATCCTCCCACACACTCGCACATCGATTTGCACATAAAGACATGCATGCCGCAGACACACACACACACACACACACACACACACACACACACACGCAGACACGTATGTAGTCATGCACGATCACACACAAAACAAAGACACACATGCAAATATCTCTCCACTGCGCTCGGCAGGGGGGGGGGTATTCTGACAGAGCTTAGATACCAGCCAATCAAACGCTCCCACTATGATTCATTGTTTAAGCAAACACTCCTGGCATCCATCAGCTGCCATTCCAACATATTCATCCTCATACGTAGCAAATGCGTTTTTTGGTGCATTTTACTGTGAATGGCTCAGTGGCGTAGCATTGTGTCTGTGAGAGCAGCCGATGGTGTGCGCTGCTCCCACATGATGATCTGTTGAACCTGTTTCACAAAGAGCAGCTCTCCTATGACAGTTGTTTGAAAATGTTTGATCTTGTATGTTTCTTATCTGCGCGTTAAAGTTTGTTGGTGCTGTTATGCGCCAGAGAGTGTATGTGCGCACATGCCAATGGGAAATCAGAGATGAGAACTTTGGGCAGTTGCCCTGTTTTGCATAGTCTGAGAGGAACAATCATTCTGACATGGTAGCTGTACAGCATATCTATTCTCTCCCCATCTATCTCACTGCCACAAAGGCTTGCAGACTCACAGGCCTGCCAGCAGCAACCCTCAATGAGGAACTAGACCCTGTGTGCGTGTGTGTCTGTGTGAGAGAGGGAGAGAGAGAGAGAGAGAGAGAGAGAGAGAGAGAGAGAGAGAGAGAG